GGCTTTGGGGCTGCAGTGGACGATAACACAAATGTTTGCACAAATCCAGAGGAAAAACTGGAGCCTTGATTTTCAACATGAAAACAAACTGCACCCGCACTCACTAAAAGCTGCTTTAATTACTCGAAACACATTTCATTATTGATTCACTGATTAATTAAACTAGATCAATTGTCCCCTGTTGGATTAAAGAACCGCCTGGTAAAAAACATCAACTTCAACTCTTGACCATTTCTACTGAAAACACCCACAACAAGTGAGTTCAAGGGAAGACTTGATGAAGTGTGACTTTCTGGACTTTGCAGAAGACTAAAACAGTGCTAAATAAAATCTGTAGAACGGATACAGCGTCCAACATTTCTTTTATACTACGTTTTGGTACGCAACCACGATCGTTCAATGTTAAGAGGCTGTTGAGCAAATGTCCAGTAAACATCCGGCAGGAGGAGCTCATACTGAAAGCTTTTCTCCACTGTTGCCCTGTGCTTTTTGATCCGGGACAACAGCGGGAAAGGTTGGCGTGTTGTTTGGACCTGTGCGCAGCGCGATGTACCCGGGACTCCAGCGAAGCGCATTACAAACGCTATGTGACTTGAATACATTCACCGCAATTTCACAATGGAAAAAAGCAGAGAAAACCAGGTGGAGGTCCAGTATGAAAGACCCTTAGGCCACTGGTGCATGTTTTGTGACAAAGTTAGTGTTTTATGAATAGCAGCTTTATGAATGAATGAATGCTCGTACTGATGCATGTGCCCATTTGTCTCATTTTTTCAAACTTCCATTCAGAAATTGAAATACACTGCAATTATAAAAATTTGAAAAATAATTAGAAAATTAGACAAATTGAGGTAAGTAATTATGCATTATTATAATGTGTAATTGTCCTCATGTTGTATTCATTACTATATTGTGTTGCTGTTGGAGTCAGGATCCATTCAATAAGACCAATCCCATTCCTAATATAAATAATTGTGTGATTTTCTCATATACTATCAGTGTTGAAAGCAAAAAAACTGAACGTAAACACCAGTAAAGATCTTTCTATTCCACAAATCACTGAGATTCACTTCATGATGTTTCCACAGCTATTTCTGCTGACTCACATCTAACCTGTCCCTAAGTCCCTCAGTATACATTTTTTAACAGCTACAGATGTCAGCCATGCTCCCTTCTTTCCCCTTCATAAAATACTGTCTTCACTGTTTGGAAAAATAAAAACATGCTTTATTTGTTGGTAATGTTTGTTATTTTGCCAGCCCGAGCTCGAGGCCGGGCTGGTCGTATCACAGCCGACCCCTCTCACCCTGCACATGGACTATTCCAACCACTCCCCTCAGGCAGGAGGCTGCGGTCCATCAGGACTAGAACCTCCCGCCACAAGAACAGTTTCTTCCCCTCTGCTGTTGGACTCTTGAACACTTCTTAACCTGTCCCCCCGCCCTTTATAAAGTCACTTTACTGCCCATCATACGTCACTTTACTTCACTGTACTGCTGTCACCTTACATTGTGTGCACCATGTGCACTTGTATATTGTAAATAGTAACTGTAACTCTATTTTAAATTTAAATTTATTCTTTAGAAGTGTTTTTTATTCTTATTTTTATTATCTCTTTTTGACTGTTGCACTGAGCCAAAGCAATTTCCTAGTCTGTGACCTCCTGTTACTTACGTGGCAATAAAAATGATTCTGATTCTGATGATTCTGATATTTGCCAGTAAAACGTACTGACTTAAACAGGCTGGAATAGATGGAGCCGTTCCATCATCATTTGGCATGCACTTTACACATTTTGTTTTTAGATCTTAAATTGTACCAGGATTTTGTTATGAACCAATGCGGCTGGTCTCTTTGGCTTCTCGTGCATCAACAAGGCTTTTTCTCTCTGCTGCAGCTGACTGGAGGCTGTTTTTATTTGGACCTCCTTCAGTAAATATTAGAAAAGCTTCTAATATTTAGAAGCTTTTCTAAATATTAGCCACCGTGGGCGGCACGGTGGCTGAGTGGATAGCACTCTCGCCTCTCAGCAAGAAGGTCCTGGGTTCGAATCCCGGTCGGACCAGGGCCTTTCTGAGTGGAGTTTGCATGTTCTCCCCGTGTCTGCGTAGGTTTCCTCCGGGTACTCCGGTTTCCCCTACCACTAAAAATATGTCCAATAGTTCTAGCATGCGCCTCCTGTACTGGCGACCCCGCTCCCATCTCTATGTGGAGTGAGAGACTAATGCACAAAAAATTAACAATTGTAAACCGCTTTGAGACTCAGATCTGCAGTGAAAAGGCGGTATATAAATAAATACTTACTTACTACTTACTTCTGTCTCGGATCCCCCAAAGTCAAAACAGTGTTGAACAACTGCAGTTCACAAAAGTATTCCGGTGCAAAAGATTTGTCTACACAAAATCTGTCTTGCATCTGTATTTAATTTATGGTTTTGGCTCATACTGGCTTCAGCTTTTAGACACAATGTAAGGACAATATGTGTGATGTCCTATTGCTATTCATACAACTGAAGGATTTTATATTTTTATCTTTCATTTAAATATCATGTGATTATTTATGAGCTATACAAAACCTTGCCTTGCCTTTAAAACACTATACTACTTCACCAGGCATAGAAATACTGGAAAACTATATTTCTTTTTTATTATTATTATATTTTTGGTGCATTTTTAAGAACATTCTTTACCCCCAGTCCCTCCCAAAATATACCCAAGAGAATATTCATTTTGACATTTTACCAAATATTGAAAGATAACCTATTAAAATTTTGTTTTGGTTGATGTAACTAAATAAACGTATGATAACAAATAAACGGCCAGTAAAATACTAGATGAAGACCAACTCGATCTAAAGCCCTAATTATGCAACAGGCAAATGAATGAATCAATGTGACCAATTCAAACACTAAATGCTTCAATCCAAGTTATTGTCATAGGTTTGACCACAGATAAGGTTCAAATTAAAATGGTACTCGATACTTCTTCACAAACAGAGAACCGTTTGATCATTCACAGCTCTTACAGCATGGTCTGCAATTTGACCTTTTCTTTCATATCGGTTAAAACTAACTCTGTCCCTTTTAAAGAAGAAGTAGTATGGCAAGGCAAGTTTATTTGTATAGCACAATTCATACATAAGGCAATTCAAAGTGCTGAACAAGATAGCATTAAAATCATAAATAATCACAATATAAAAATATAAAATCCCTCAGTTGTATGCACAGCTAAACAGAACCGTTTTTAACCTGGTTTTAAACATTGTCAGAGAGGAGGCCTGTATCACATCTTCAGGAAGACTGTTCCAGATTTTAGCAGCATGAATCTGAAAAGCAGCCTCCCCATGTTTAGTCCTGACTCTGGGCACTAACAGGAGTCCAGTCCCTGTGCTCCTCAGAGTCCGGGCTGGTTCATATGGGACTAACATGTCACTAATATATTTTATTTTTTGTACAATAAAAAGTATGCAATATTCTTGTCCGTTAAAACTAGAATGAAGTAACATTTGACATGTCATCAGGGGTATAAAATGCTATCTGTGTGTAACTCCCTAAGCTACCACCAGAGGGATAAGTTACTTCTTTTTTTTTTTTTTTTTTTCAGCTGCAAACACAATTTTTTTTTTGGAAATAATGATGTTTTAAAAAGTAGAAAACTGCTGAGTACGATGTCATAGTGGTGCAATGACATCATACTATAACAGGACTGAGAGGAGCTGAACATTAGTGGGGATTATGTTTCCTTTAACACAAAAACAATGAGACATTCTGCTCTGTGGTGGTTTCCGGGTTGCAAGTATTCCTCAAACACATATGTGACACTGCCAAACCAGGTCAAAATAAGTACATAAAAGTGCAATAGCCGTTTGTTCACACTTTGCATTTTCCTCTGGGACGCAGCCTCAGTCAAGCTCTGCCATCCGTACAGCTAATATACTGACTGCACTACTCAAAGCCCCTCAATTATTCATCTTAGGTGATATGAATCAATATTTAAACACTAGAGAGAGCTGCCCTTGTCAAAAGACTCAGAGATGTGAAGTTGCTATCATTTCTAAAAATTCCTTGTTAAACGGCATTTGCTCGAAGCAATCAGCACGGCAGTAATTCAATCTGCAAATATTTCACAATTAGGAGATAGCTGCTGAATAAGAGATAAATACAGGCAACCGATAAGATGGAATGTACATGTTCAGATAATGTTACTTTACAACAGCACAACGCAAACCAGTTTCCAAACATGGACACAACTGGCAAACTTAACCTTAGGTCAAACTGGCTGTTTTCCCTTGAAATCTTTTTTCTTACAAACTGTTTAACAGGCGTCTCCAGAGAGCTACTTATATTGAACAAAAGAGGCGGGGATTTGCTACTTTTTCAGACGTAATGAAAAATGTGTGTAATAATCACGACAAAACATAGAGACTTCATAAATATACTATAACACTGTAAAACCCTATAATTATACTTGTTATAGATGTGGAATGACTCAAAATGTATTCCTTCAAGATCATTTCTTAATTTCTAAATCCTTTGGGGAGCTACCTGAAAGGGGCTTGCGAGCTTCGAGTCACAGCTTGGAGACCCCTGCTGTATTTGAACAAAGAATTGGCCGTAATTGTTTGTTTGCGACACAAGTAAATGAAACATTTCTGGTTTTCAGTATTCAGCTCTGACATGATTCAACTCAGTTATAGATGAATTCAATTATGAGATTGATTCCCATAAATACTTTAGGATAGATATGTATGTTTCAGAATTAACATAAATACAGACTATTGATTCAAGTCTTCCAAGCAGACGTGGTTCATTTTCAGAGAATGACCAACTTTTTGAGAATTTATATATCTATAAAAATACAAACATGAACCAAAAAGCTCTAGTGAAAAGTACTCTTTCTGCAGACTTAGTTGAAATGAAATGATGAAATGAACACTTCCCCAGCTCCAATATTGACTCTGGCCGAAGTATCAGTGGGATTATGTGAGCGCGAGTGTTTACCTGAGGTGGGCGAGCGGCTCCTCTCCATGTCGATGGACTGCTGGTTGTCAGAGAGTTCAGTAAGGCCTGACGGTGAGGAAGAGGAGGAAGAAGAGGAGGAAAACAAAAGAGGAGATACAGAACATGGTCTGTTAGTTCTTGTTAGAAGCAGTGGTCACTTCTGAGATATATTTGATGCGATACCAGTCACACTGCCCAACTCAGACAGACACAGATTAAAGGAAGAAGCTATGATGCTTATGCTAACAAATTCCTGTGTTTTTTCCCAGTGGGAATGGGGCTTCGCTTATACACTAATAAAAGAACATAATATTAGAGCGTAAACTCTATCGAGAATACATCTACAGCATTTTTAAGATGAAATAAGTTGTTCAAAAATCAGATGCAGGAGCAAAAAGTAAAAGTTTTAAAAGAAAACGTACAAAATAGACAAGTGTCTAAGTGACAGGACAAGAGTAATGAACGAGTTAGATAGATTGAATACAGTCCAATTAGGTTAGTAACCCCAAGCCTAACTTAACTATAATACATGTAAATGAGGTAAAATGCTTTTTGGGTTGGTCTGACATAAACAATTAACTACTACTTTTAAATTCAGTTGAAATAAAGTTTAGTAAGTAATAAGTGTAAGTATAGAATCCATCTGCTTTAAAATCAGGTGAAGACAAAGTAGTAAAAGTATCAAGTGTAAAAGCCACTTATCACTGCCATAATAAATCAGTCCCTTCAGAGCGGCCACATCCCACCCACACTAAAAACAGCTATCATTCGGCCTCATCTTAAAAAACCATCTCTGGACCCCGACATCTTGGCTCACTACCGCCCCATCTCGAACCTCCCTTTCTTGTCAAAGGTCATGGAAAAGGTTGTTTCCGCCCAACTTCAGGACCACTTGAAACACAATAACCTCTACGAAAAATTCCAGTCAGGCTTCCGATCGCACCATAGCACAGAAACAGCACTGGTCAGAGTCACCAATGACCTCATGCTGGCCTCTGACCAGGGCTTTCCATCACTACTCCTTCTCCTGGACCTCACAGCAGCATTCGACACCATAGAACATTCAATTCTCCTTCATCGCCTTCATACTATAATTGGTCTCTCTGGCACCACTCTGAGATGGTTTGGGTCCTATCTCACTGATAGAGCTGAGTATGTGGCCTTGGGGGAGTCTAAATCCCAGACTCACACTGTCTCCTGTGGAGTCCCACAGGGGTCGGTTCTTGGGCCGACCCTCTTCAACATCTATATGCTCCCCCTGGGCCACGTCATCGGCAGGCATGGCATGTCCTTCCACAGCTATGCCGATGACACTCAGCTCTATGTGAGACTGGACCCAGCCTCTCCCTCATCCACCCCCGCTGCACTCACCTCCTGCCTGGAGGAGATAGAGGCGTGGATGTCTCAAAACTTTCTCCAGCTAAACAGCACTAAAACAGAGGCTCTACAAATTGGCACCCCCCACCAACTTCGTTCCCTGTCTGTAAACTGCATTAATTTCTCTGGTCATACCATCACCCCCTCCTTCTGTGTTACAAACCTCGGTGTCAGGTTTGACTCCCACCTCACTTTTCATCCACACATCCAACATATCTCCAAAACTGCTTACTTTCACTTAAGAAACATTGCCAAACTCCGCCCCTCTCTTTCCCTCTGTGATGCTGAGAAGCTGGTCCACGCCTTTGTCTCCTCCAGGTTGGACTATTGCAATGCCCTCCTCGTCGGGATCCCTGGCAGAAGCTTTCAAAAGCTTCAGCATATTCAGAACAGTGCTGCCAGGGTCCTGACGAGGACACGCAAGTTCGAGCACATCACCCCCGTCCTCCGTAAACTCCACTGGCTCCCCATACACCTCCGTATTGAATATAAGATCTGTCTTCTCACTCACCAATGCATCCACAGCAACGCCCCAGAGTACTTACAAGACCTCCTCACCCTACAGTCCACATCACGATCCCTCCGGTCCACAAACACCCACCGTCTCAGTCAGCCAATCACACGCCTTCACTCCATGGGAAACAGGACTTTTTCAGCCGCATCACCACGCCTGTGGAACGCCCTGCCCCAAGACCTGCGGGCGCCACAGTCTGTGGAGTGCTTCAAAAAGCACCTGAAAACGGAGCTATTCAGGAGGGCCTACTGCTGATCTGCAGCCCATGTTTTAATGTATTTTAACATTTGTATATATGTGTTTTTATTCTGATGTAGCACCTTGAGATGTGCTTTGCATATGAAAGGTGCGTTATAAATAAAATCTATTATTATTATTTATTAAATATACTGTAAAAATTAAACTGATTATTATAGTACGTTTTCTTTCTACTTGTTGCACCCCTGGATAGTTTATTGCTTTTACTTCTTGATATTTGAATCCTTTTTATATCAATACTTATATCTATATCTATATTTTGGAGCTCGTCTTGAATACACTTTTTTTAAAGACTTTTTTTTTGTCATTTTAAACCAAGGCATTATACATTACTATGAAAAAATTCAGCAACACAAATGATTAGAGCGAATGCACTTGTCCTTCCTTGTTATATAATCAAACAATCAATTCCATCTTATTTACCCCAATCTAAGCATTTATAACTAGATTTCCCAGAGAAAACCATTTGTCCTGACTGCAGATGCATCTGTCTGTGAGAGGGACAGAGTGACTGTACCTGATGTGACCTGCGCTGCCATATGCTCATTAAATGCCAAGAGATAATTTTAGAGGTTCGACAGCATTGTGTTCAAATGTCAGCAGTGGCATAATGAACCGCAGCACTGCAGATCACATAAAGCAGAGACACAGAGAAAGAAAAAAAAAACAGCACATATACGAACATCACATCTGTCAAATGTTCAGTCACATGCATCGGGCACAGGCCACACCACAAACAAGTCCTCCTGCATTTCTTTTATATATAACGAAAGGTTCATTTAAAAGTGTATCGTTATTGTCTGTATTTGGAAATGAACGTATTGTGCACTGTGTATGTTATCTGATGGATGCTCCTTTCTGGGGAGAAGTTATGGAAGGAGTGGGATTTGAACCAGGGACCTTCGGCTAGATAGATGCTCCGTCAATTGAGCTATTACCAAACCAGCAGGTGACCAAATAAATTACTGTATAGAAAATGTATATTCTACAAAGCTAAAAAATGACCTTTTTGACATGCTGTTTTTTATATATAGTAGAATAAATGCAAAGTATTATTCATAATTTGCATAATTATTGTAAAACTGGACTCCAAAAGTCCAGTCTGTTAATTTTTCTATTTCGTCAGGAAAGTCCCACTGAGATTTCAGAATCTTGCTTTCAGGGGAGTCCTGGTCACAGAGAGAGAGGGCGTGAGAATGGGGTCAGAGAGGGTGTTATATTTTTAGTATGCAAGTAAGTAATATTTATCTATATAGCGCATTTTACAGACCAAGGTCCCCCAAAGCTCTTATGGTCCACAGGTGGAATTGAACCCAGGACCTTTTTGCTGTAAAGCGCTAACCACTGCGGCTATAATGTTTATTCATTAGAGCGACCAGAAAAAAATCCTTCTATTTTTACCCTTCGCAGAAAAGTCACACAGTACATTTTTAAGATTGTGGATTTGAGTTTTGAGTTGAACCTCAACTAAACTTTATTTAACCTACTTTCTTTTCAGAAATTCTATCCTCAGTATATCTGTACCTGCAGGCAAAAATGTTTATTCATTAAAATTGCCAACTCAGCTTTTCCCCTCCAAATTAAATAACAGTACATTCATTTTCGAAGACCCTTCCCTGAAAGTGTTGGTTTGTGATTCTGGTAAAAGGTTGAATCAATGAAGAATACTTATAATACTGCAATGCTTCAGTTAAAATATCGATCAGTACCTATGAATACATGACAGCTGCCCTTTCTTCAGCTCTTTCTGCAAAGGACATAGCGATGGACAAGACTGGAATAAAGCTGCACAATAAGGAAAAAATTGGATTACGAGCTTTGATCCAGTCGTCTCCTTTTGTCCTGTTGCTTCAGAGGGTTTCATTCTCCACTACACACACACAGCCCCTCCACAGATCCACGGGGAGGGCCCTACTTACTCTGGTAGGATGTACGGATCCTTTTCTTTGAATCTGAGTAAAAGTTAGAGAGGCCGCGCATGCAAAACTCTGTCAGGCAGGCCCCACATGCCCACAGCAGCCACAGTCACCGGGACGGGGGGAAGGACAGAGCGAAAAAAGTAAAAAGATGAAGAAAAAATAAAAAGAGAAATTATAATAAAAAATGTGTAGTCAAAAGAAGAAGGGGAAAGGTTAGGGGGGAGGAAAGGAGAGAGAGAACATCCGGCTTAGAGTTTCAAATAAAGTGATAGAAGCAGCGAGTTAGTGTCAGGGAGGGACAGGCCGCTACTGCAACACAAACACTTATTACACCACAGCATTTATGGAAATCACACAGAATGTTGTCATATTCTCCTGTTTGAAAATATAATCACAGAAAGTCTACACATTGTTGGTCTCATCTATTCTATTTCTCTCAAGAATTTACAACTATCCTTGGGTGCTCTTTCTACGGGCCTGGACGCTGCAACAATGACATTTCCCACTGTAGGACGAACACAGGTTTTCTTATCATAGGCATTGCTCTAAAAGGGATTAGGGAAGCTTTACATTTGACTTAACAAATGGTTTGAACACAGGTGAGTTTCACGTTTTAAATATATATGATTTTGCTTTATAGGTAGTACAATTTAACATGGACAAAAGTACAATTGTTCCAAAAAACTTACTTTGTCTCCATGTCTTTTCATGTCTCTCTATCTATAGAGTTCATAAAGGAGCTTTAAGTTGCTTACAACATACATTGGGACTAAGGATACAGTACTTCATGTGTTAGAACCTTATCTTTGTGAAAGCTTGTCGTAGACGGTAGATCCAGGTGAAATGCACAGACAGTATTGGCTGCTTTTTCTGTGACACAGTTCAAACTTTGGTCTCAGCTCAATATCAGTGCGACGTCAGCACAGGTTCTTATTTTTCTCCAACTAAAGATTGATTTTAAAGACAATGACGTTTACAAAAAGGGAAAGTCAAAGCGGTGTTAAAAGCTGTGGTAGTCAATAACGGGCACTTATAAAACAGTAAACTGGAAGTGGACTGAAAAGCCTAAAGGTGTGCCTCAGTCTACATCTTTCTTCAGAAACTCTCAAAAATGTACTTTTAAGGGATTACATAAAGCACCTTCACTATTTAAAGACCAACAAGATCACTTTACTGCATTTGATCTGCTTTAATGCTGGGATGAATATTTTTTAGAAGACACCAGTAGAGAGTGAGTTTCAGAAACCTCCACCAAAATTAGTAGGAGACAAAAGGGACATAGGACAAGGGTTGGGACATCTTGTGGCTTTCACTTCATATCAAGTCTACGCTCAAGCAATAATACAGAGACATAAAAATATATAAAACAACATGCATATAATGCAAACATGAGATGCAGCCTGCTACATGCACCTGGTACAAAGTGCAGAAGGCAAACTGACATGACAGTGTCTGTGAGAGGGTGAGAGGGTGAGAGGGTGAGAGAGTGAGACAGTGAGAGAGTGAGAGAGTGAGAGGGTGAGAAGGTGAGAGAGTGAGAGGGTGAGAGAGTGAGAGATTGAGAGTGTGAGAGAGTGAGAGAGTGAGAGTGAGAGAGTGAGAGGGTGAGAGGGTGAGAGAGTGAGAGAGTGAGAGAGTGAGAGGGTGAGAGAGTGAGAGAGTGAGAGAGTGAGCGAGTGAGAGGGTGAGAGAGTGAGAGAGTGAGATGGTGAGAGGGTGAGAGAGTGAGAGGGTGAGAAGGTGAGAGAGTGAGAGAGTGAGAGAGTGAGAGGATGAGAAGGTGAGAGAGTGAGAGAGTGAGAGAGTGAGAGGGTGAGAGAGTGAGAGGGCGAGAGGGTGAGAGGGTGAGAGAGTGAGAGAGTGAGAGAGTGAGAGAGTGAGAGGGTGAGAGGGTGAGAGAGTGAGAGGGCGAGAGGGCGAGAGGGTGAGAGGGTGAGAGAGTGAGAGAGTGAGAGAGTGAGAGGGTGAGAGGGTGAGAGAGTGAGAGGACAGAAGGGGACTGAAAGAGAGTCAATCATTGCCATCATTTTTGCTTTTGTTTTTTTGGGCTATAGATCCAAAAGGAGTTGTTAGTTTGTTGTTACAGCTATATAAGGCAAACATAACATCAATAAGTCCAGTCTCATTTACGTCATTACAATAAACTAATTATTTATGTTTTAAATCTCTCCTTGACCTCTGATCTGAGATTTAATCAGCTTTAAAAACTTAATGCAGACACGTTAATCAATGTGCTGTAATTATAATTAAATCAACAATATGGACAGTGTTCCTGACAAACATCCAGTCCTGTGTGACGGATGAAGGAGAGACGTGTGTGTGTAGGAGAGACGTGTGTGTAGGAGAGACGTGTGTGTGCAGGAGAGACGTGTGTGTGTAGGAGAGACGTGTGTGTAGGAGAGACGTGTGTGTGTGTAGGAGAGACGTGTGTGTGCAGGAGAGACGTGTGTGTGTAGGAGAGACGTGTGTGTAGGAGAGACGTGTGTGTGCAGGAGAGACGTGTGTGTGCAGGAGAGAAGTGTGTGTGTAGGAGAGACGTGTGTGTGCAGGAGAGACGTGTGTGTGTAGGAGAGACGTGTGTGTGCAGGAGAGACGTGTGTGTGCAGGAGAGAAGTGTGTGTGTAGGAGAGACGTGTGTGTGCAGGAGAGACATGTGTGTGTAGGAGAGACGTGTGTGTGTAGGAGAGACATGTGTGTGTAGGAGAGACGTGTGTGTGTAGGAGAGACATGTGTGTGTAGGAGAGACGTGTGTGTAGGAGAGACGTGTGTGTGTGTAGGAGAGACATGTGTGTAGGAGAGACGTGTGTGTAGGAGAGACGTGTGTGTAGGAGAGACGTGTGTGTGTGTAGGAGAGACATGTGTGTAGGAGAGACGTGTGTGTGTAGGAGAGACATGTGTGTGTAGGAGAGACGTGTGTGTGTAGGAGAGACATGTGTGTGTAGGAGAGACGTGTGTGTGTAGGAGAGACATGTGTGTGTAGGAGAGACGTGTGTGTAGGAGAGACGTGTGTGTGTAGGAGAGACATGTGTGTAGGAGAGACGTGTGTATAGGAGAGACGTGTGTGTAGGAGAGACGTGTGTGTGTGTAGGAGAGACATGTGTGTAGGAGAGACGTGTGTGTGCAGGAGAGACGTGTGTGTGCAGGAGAGAAGTGTGTGTGTAGGAGAGACGTGTGTGTGCAGGAGAGATGTGTGTGTAGGAGAGACGTGTGTGTGCAGGAGAGACGTGTGTGTGCAGGAGAGAAGTGTGTGTGTAGGAGAGACGTGTGTGTGCAGGAGAGACATGTGTGTGTAGGAGAGACGTGTGTGTGTAGGAGAGACATGTGTGTGTAGGAGAGACGTGTGTGTGTAGGAGAGACATGTGTGTGTAGGAGAGACGTGTGTGTGTAGGAGAGACATGTGTGTGTAGGAGAGACGTGTGTGTAGGAGAGACGTGTGCGTAGGAGAGACGTGTGCGTAGGAGAGACGTGTGCGTAGGAGAGACGTGTGCGTAGGAGAGACGTGTGCGTGTAGGAGAGACATGTGTGTGTAGGAGAGACGTGTGTGTAGGAGAGACGTGTGTGTGTGTAGGAGAGACATGTGTGTAGGAGAGACGTGTGTGTAGGAGAGACGTGTGTGTAGGAGAGACGTGTGTGTGTGTAGGAGAGACATGTGTGTAGGAGAGACGTGTGTGTAGGAGAGACGTGTGTGTAGGAGAGACATGTGTGTAGGAGAGACATGTGTGTAGGAGAGACGTGTGTGTAGGAGAGGCGTGTGTGTAGGAGAGACGTGTGTGTAGGAGAGACGTGTGTGTGTGTAGGAGAGACATGTGTGTAGGAGAGACGTGTGTGTAGGAGAGACGTGTGTGTAGGAGAGACGTGTGTGTGTGTAGGAGAGACATGTGTGTAGGAGAGACGTGTGTGTAGGAGAGACGTGTGTGTAGGAGAGACATGTGTGTAGGAGAGACATGTGTGTAGGAGAGACGTGTGTGTAGGAGAGGCGTGTGTGTAGAGAGAGACGTGTGTGTAGGAGAGACGTGTGTGTAGGAGAGACATGTGTGTGTAGGAGAGACGTGTGTGTGTAGGAGAGACGTGTGTGTGTAGGAGAGACGTGTGTGTGTAGGAGAGACATGTGTGTAGAGAGACGTGTGTGTAGGAGAGACGTGTGCGTAGGAGAGACGTGTGTGTGTAGGAGAGACGTGTGTGTGTAGGAGAGACGTGTGTGTAGGAGAGACGTGTGTGTGTAGGAGAGACGTGTGTAGAGAGACGTGACGTGTGTGTAGGAGAGACGTGTGCGTAGGAGAGACGTGTGCGTAGGAGAGACGTGTGCGTAGGAGAGACGTGTGCGTAGGAGAGACGTGTGCGTAGGAGAGACGTGTGCGTAGGAGAGACGTGTGCGTGTAGGAGAGACGTGTGCGTGTAGGAGAGACGTGTGCATGTAGGAGAGACGTGTGTGTAGGAGAGACGTGTGTGTAGGAGAGACGTGTGTGTAGGAGAGACGTGTGTGTAGGAGAGACGTGTGTGTAGGAGAGACGTGTGTGTAGGGGAGTGTAGAGGAGAGAAGGACAGATGCACAGCAGGATATGTAATGAATACAGTGAGAGTGTGTACACGTGTTAGTGTAGTATCAGTATGTTTGAGTGCTACCTGAGGTGGACTGTCTGTTCCTGCGAGGGGAACGGGTAAGGCGCTGATAAGGGTCTGAGGATCCGTACAGATCCAACGTCGACATACACAACAATATGGTTTTCTGCAAATAGTCCACCACCACGAGGCCATTACAGTTCCCAAAGGCCAGGCTGCAGAAGAAAAGGGCAGGGGGAAGTACAAGCATGATTTTGTCTACTCCAAAAAGAAATATCACCTAACGTTGTGTCATAGTAAATAAGTAAGTAATGTTTATCATGACTCATAGCCTCAGCATGAATCAACACAAACAACTAAAAACATAAAGAAGCGTGTTAATGATAGCAGACAATCACACCTCAAATCAGGCTCGCTGACATTAAAGGTGTTAACCCTACGAGGCAAAGGCGACTTAACACCTGCAATTTGATATAATTATTATGATTAAAAGCCAACTAGAACCCAGGGGGTTCTAATAATGGAAGGATTCTGAGAAAGGAGAAACAAAATCTCCACCAAGCAAAAGCTGCAAACAGTTCTTTTAAGGTCAGGTGCCTGACTTTAGAACCACAAAAAAGAACATTGTAAAACAAATGAACTAGCATAATAACCCTTATAAGTTGTGTGCATGTGTTGATGTCCTCAGTCACATCTCTGTCTAGACCTTTTCAGTAAAATAAACATCAATAATTCTCAATATGTAAAAAAATGCTAGTTTAAATTAACGCTGTATTATGTGTAGGTTTTGGAGGTAAGGTTCACTGGTCCTTGTACTATATGTTTTGTTTTTGTGCTTTTTTCAGTTACTTGGGACACAGAGAAGGACTCACAGGCCATAGGCAGAGTTGATGTCCACACTGGTGATCTGCTGAGGAGGCTCCCCATCCACCCACTGCACCTGAACCACCAGTTCGGCCTGGTATCCAGGAGGCACCCGCACCGAGCGCTCCTTCACCCTGAGGGCAAGACAAGCGGGGGCCAGATATATTAGAACTTTCTGACAAAAATATAAATATTTTACATGGTATTCTGAAATAAAAGTCAACTTTTCAGTAGAAAGATAGGCATACAGTAGAAGCTAAATGAATTCTACTGTGTAGCAGCACAGTACTCTGGCTGCTCTGAGAGTAGCTTCAGTGACAGACTTATTCATCCTTGCTGTGTGAAGGAGAGGTTTCACAGGTCCTTCCTCCCTGCTGCTGTCAGACTGTACAATGAGAACTGCTGAACCTATCCACGTGCCTCTCACCTGTTCTGATAATAATTCACTGGCCACTAGTCACTTTACTTGTTGTTATTATCATTACTAACATTATTACATATCTATTCATCTGATACTTCTGTCATTCACTCATCACTTTACCTGCTGATCTAATTACTATTGTTGATTCTGCTCATATTCTCCACAATAAAGTACAATAAACACATCTATAAATACCTGTGAAACAAGTGCAATTAAAGATCCAGTTATATTAAATTCTATATTTTTTTCTCATTACTTATTGTTTTATTGTATTATCTTAAATAATAGATCCTATGTGATATGTGCAAACTGATGGCTCCTCCTACTTTTTATTCTGCTGTAATGCGCGCAACGTTGACACTGAAATTTCCTCACAGTGGGACGATTAAAGGAATAGTTTATCTGATCTTAAACACATATATTCCAAGCTGGAAAACAGGTCTTACTTGAGGCAGCTGTCCTTCGTGCCATCAGGAGTGCCTCCCCGGGGGCTGGTGGGGTTGGGTTGATGGGGCTGTGGCGAGTGGGGCCCCGGTTCAGAAAAACATGGGGTGTTTTCTGTTTCCGATGGAGAGATGACGTCCTCGGCCTCACACTGGAGACGCACCTCCAGCGACTGTCAACACACAATATGCAGTTTGGACTTTTAATACACACTTGTTTTGTGGTACAGGACGCAGTGAGTTAAATGCGCAGAGAATGTAGCTATTTATTATAACCTTTACAACTCATGCATTATTAAACACACAGCAGTGGTAATCATTAAACAGAATTCCACAGTTTCAAACCAAGAAAGACATTGGAATCCAGCAACGTATTTTAGTGCTCACAAACTCTCTGCAACATCCCTAGTGTTCTTTACATACATCCTAGTTTAGCCACCATCCCATAGAACTGCTTATTTACCACAAAGAAAAGTAAAATACAGACCAGGCATGTCAAACTCAGGCTCGTGGGCCAAATCCAGCTCGCAAGACATTTTTTAGAAGCCCCTACAATGATTTTCTATTATTATTATTATTGCAGCATTGATGACATAGCGACCAAGGCATGTTATAAATCTTCTATGTTCTCAGGAAAACAACCATATCTACGTTTACATTACAAGAATTTACAAGAATGTCTTTGCCATTTGCAGTAAAACCACATTGGAAAAACTGAGCCGGAAACTAAACTTTTAACCCAACACATCATTAGAAGTTAAAAAGTTGTGTGTTTAACTTTGTATTTGATCCAGTTTTGGTTAAATCTAAACAAACACATTTTGTTTTCAGAAAAATCAACCAGGAAATAATAGAGAAACTCATGTCAAATAAAAGTAATGTAAAAATACCCTCACAATGTAAAAAAATAAATAGAAAAAGAAAAGAAAATCCCTTCTTGTCTTTCGACCCCTGACCAGTTCCTATTTTTTTTATTTGGCCCCTGACTTAAATGAGTTTGACACCTTTGATATAGACTCTCTTTGTATACTAACAACCAGCATTCAACCCCACAGGTTTCACACATTTTTCACACATTATTGCCCCAAGTGAACCAGAAGTGTGAACGTACTCTATAAAACAATTTCTCTTTCTACTTCCTGCGAGCAGCCAGTGTTGACAGCGGCCTCACTCACCACTATCTGCGCGTTGGCGTCGTACTTGCTGAATCGGTAGAGGATGATGTGCGCAGAGATGCCGACCACACAGAAGATGCGGCTCTGAGGGCACCAGCTGACCATCTGCACTGCAAATGGGTCGTCCTCGCCGCTGTCGCCTCCCTTTGGCTTTTCAAACACTTTAGACGTTTTCATCTTGTACAGCATCTGGAGTGTGACTGGACAAAACACACAACTTAGCAACCATGACATAGTTTGTATTACACTACTGATTGTTAGTGTTGCTCTTGCTATTGTATGGTATGCCCTTTTGGCTGTGTTATTTTATCATAGAGGGGTATTTTATTTGTGTGTCGGTGTGTGCCTATGTGTGTTTGTCTATATAGGCAGGATTGTGCAAAAACTACTAAATGGAATGAGTTGAAATTTGGTGTGTAGATGATGGGATGGCAGAAAGACTTTATCCAGGAATCCATCTACAGTACATGATACAAAAGCTTAGATTTTGATAGTATCAGTACGATGCTACCAATGTCACGGCACGTCCATTATTTTATCTTATGATATGATTCCGGAGACATTTAGTTATGAATACTTGCACATCGCTTTTAATGACATCCATTCCAGAGAAGCTTCACATGGATTATTCCGTCGCTCCGTACACTGGTGCTAAACTACTATGGAGCAGACTGGCGGATGCAATGCCACTAGTTTGTCCCAGCGGCCCCTTTGACCACCACCAATCCTTTACCCTCACAACAGACTCTAGGTAATGTGCAAAAAGTGGCTTGCCTAAGGTCACAGCAGTTTGGCACTTTACCGCTGCAGCTATCCCTCTGTGGCACCTGGTATTCCCTGAGGTCTCCCATCACAGTTCTAACAAGCCCCTGCCCTGCTTGACTCATAATATACTTATACCACTGTTATTCTTCCGAAGTACAAAAACAGACCTTTTAACTTGACTAGTTCCAACCAGTAGTTTTTATATCTGCTTAATAATTGGGTTGGCTTTTTTGAATGGTCATATTTGTAAACATTACATAGTGATTCTCTGCACAACATCATACCCTGTGGTCTGCATAATTACACAGACATCTGCATTTCGACAGTGCACTTACTTGCAGACGCGTCCCAAAACTTGATTGAGCCATCGGCATGCCTACGCAAAGAGAAAGGATTTTATGGCAGGCTAGAATTATGGATTTAGCAGAAAGCAAACTACATGAAAATACTGCACAGTGGATGCAGTTTCGTGTTGTGTAAAGCACTACCATAAAAGACAGCAGGAATAGTACAGTGTCAGCTAAGTGTTGAACTTGGAGCCTGTTAAAACCTGTCTGCCCTGTGCAACAATAGCAGATGCCATCGTAAAATAAGCCTTTTCTCTCGCCTTCAGAAATTATGCTTTATACTGTGCTCCCCCCTAGACTGCCACCTTAACGTGGTGGGGGAGTTTGAGTACTCGGATGATCCTGGGAGCTATGCTGTCTGGGGCTTCATGCCCCTGGTAGGGCCTCCCAGGGCAGACAGGTCTCAGGTGACGAGTCAGACAAAGAGCAGTCCAGAAGACACCTTGGACAGCACTATTACGAGATCAGTGACGTCGCCCGGCATGGCGCAGCCGGGGCCCCACCCTGGAGCCAGGCCTGGGGTCGGGGCTCGTATGCGAGCGCCTGGTGGCCGGGCCTTAGCCCACGGGGCCCGGCCGGGCTCAGCCCGAATGGACGACGTGGGCAGTCCCTCCTGTGGGCCCACCACCCGCAGAGGGGTCCGTGGTGGCGAAGCGGTGCAGAGAGGACTGGGCAGCGGTCGAAGGCGGAGACCTCGGCGACCCAGTCCGCACACACAACATCTGGCTCTTGGGACGTGGAACGTCACCTCACTGGGGGGGAAGGAGCCCGAGCTTGTGGGGGAGGTTGAGCGATCCCGACTAGAGATAGTCGGCCTCACCTCCACACACAGCTTGGGCTCTGGAACCCAACTCCTTGAGAGGGGTTGGACGCTCCACTTTTCTGGAGTTCCCCGCGGGGAGAGGCGGCGAGCTGGGGTGGCCATTCTCATTGCCCCCCATCTCAGCCGCCACGTGTTGGAGTTCTCCCCGGTGAATGAGAGGGTCGCGTCCCTCCGCCTCCGGGTGGGGGACAAGTCTCTCATTGTTGTGACGGCCTACGGGCCTAACAGCAGTGCAGAGTACCCGGCCTTCTTGGAGTCCCTGGGAGGGGTACTGGACGGTGCACCGCCCGGGGACTCCGTTATTCTCCTGGGGGACTTCAACGCCCATGTGGGAAACGCCAGTGACACTTGGAGAGGGGTGATCGGGAAGAGCGGCCCCCCTGATCTGAACCCGAGCGGTGTTCAGTTGTTGGACTTCTGTGCCAGTTACGGTTTGTCCATCACGAACACCATGTTCGAGCACAAGGGTGTCCACCAGTGCACGTGGCACCAGGACACCCTAGGCCGGAGGTCGATGATCGACTTTGTTGTCGTATCATCTGACCTTCGACCGCGTGTCTCGGACACTCGGGTAAAGAGAGGGGCGGAGCTGTCAACCGATCATCACCTGGTCGTGAGTTGGATCCGCTGGCAGGGGAAGAAGCCGGTCAGACCTGGCAGACCCAAGCGTATAGTGAGGGTCTGCTGGGAACGTCTCGCTGAGCCCCCTGTCAGACGGACTTTCAACTCACACCTCCGGGAGAGTTTCTCCCAGGTCCCGGCGGAGGAGGGGGACATGGAGTCCGAGTGGACCATGTTCTCTGCCTCAATCGCCGATGCGCAACCCCCGAACCCGGTGGTGGACACCGGCAGTAAGGGATGCTGTCAGGCTGAAGAAGGAGTCCTATCGAGCCATGATGGTTCGGGGGACTCCTGAGGCAGCTGTCCAGTACCGGCAGGCCAAGCGTGCCGCGGCCCGGGCTGTTGCAGAGGCAAAAACCCGGGACTGGGAGGAGTTCCGAGAGTCCATGGAGCATGACTATCGGTCGGCCTCGAAGAGATTCTGGCAAACCATCCGGCGCCTCAGGAGGGGGAAGCAGTTCTTTGCCAACACCATGTACGGTGCGGGTGGAGAGCTGCTGACCTCGACTGGGGATATTGTCGGGCAGTGGAAGGAATACTTTGAGGTTCTCCTCAATCCCCCCGTCACGTCCTCTGTTTCAGAGGCAGAGGCTGAGGATGTTGGGGCGGATACATCCATCTCCCTGGCTGAGGTCACCAAGGTGGTTGGTAGCCTTCATGGTGGCAAGGCTCCGGGTGTGGATGAGATCCGCCCTGATTATCTAAAGCAGGGGTGCTCAATACGTCGATCGCGATCTACCAGTCGATCGCAAAGGTAGTATTGGTAGATCGCATTAAATAAATAAAAAATTACACATTCTAAACGAATATATACAAAAAACTCCGGGCAAAGTGGAGATTTTTGAAAACTCCATTAATGCATTTGTGTGTAGACAGAGATAACCGGAGTTTTGCGTTCTCGCACGCCAAAGTACCCCCCTAAATTCCTCTGATCACTGAAGCATGGATCATACTACCTTAAAAACTGTTCGCTGTGAGATGCTCGCAGCAGCGAACACCCTCCACATCAGAGAGCAGCAAAGTGATCGCGGGGACTCACGCTCGAAAACAACTAAACCAGGACTAAACCAGGACTAAACCAGGGCTGAGGACGGGGTCAGTGCTTGTAAACATACATCTTTACTCTGAGTGTCTTCTATGACTGTAAAAGTGCCGTTACCGGCGTCTGCATCAAAGCTCCGCCCACTTCTGTGTTTTTCCCCAACGCAGGACAGGACGTAAGAGACGCACATGTTTGGAATGTTACGAATGTGATTGATAACGCAGATGTGTGGATGCAAATTATTTTATAAACTGAGGAGGGGAAATATTTGGATTTAAAAAAAACAGGCATGGCACATGGACATGGCACCACAGTCAAATGACATCTGTGTTTTACTCAGTAATGTTTTACTGACACTTAGGTGACTGCACATGCGCAAACAACCGCGCTCAGTGCAGGAAAGCTAAACCACGACAAACTTGTCAGCGAGTTACCACCAATTTTCCGGACTATGCATCCCTGGCCGATTCAATTCAGTGCAAGTCATCAGAGTAAACTCGGGTAATGACAAAAAATGTACATAGGTAATTGTGTTGTGTTGTGCTATATTGGCTCATGCGGTTTTGCATGTACATAAACATACATTGTAGGTATAAAGAATATTTTTTGAAATAAATATGTGATTTGCATTTTTGTAGTAGGTAGATCATTTTGACTTGATCCTTTTATAAGTAGCTCGCATGCTGAAAAAGTGTGAGCACCCCTGATCTAAAGTCTCTGGATGTTGTAGGACTGTCTTGGCTGACACGTCTCTGCAACATCGCGTGGCGATCGGGGGCAGTGCCAATGGAGTGGCAGACCGGGGTGGTGGTCCCTCTCTACAAGAAGGGGGATCGGAGGGTGTGTTCCAATTATCGTGGGATCACACTCCTCAGCCTTCCCGGTAAGGTCTACTCCAAGGTACTGGAGAGGAGGCTACGGCCGATGGTCGAATCTCGGATCCAGGAGGGGCAGTGTGGTTTTCGTCCCGGTCGCGGAACACTGGACCAGCTCTATACTCTCCATCGGATACTCGAGGGTTCATGGGAGTTCGCCCAACCTGTCCACATGTGCTTTGTGGATTTGGAGAAGGCGTTCGACTGTGTTCCCCGGGGTGTCCTTTGGGGGGTTCTCCGGGAGTACCGGGTCGGGGGTCCTCTGCTGAGGGCCATCCGATCCCTGTATGACCGGAGCCAGAGCTGTGTTCGCATTGCCGGCAGTAAGTCAGACCTGTTCCCGGTGAATGTTGGCTTCCGACAGGGCTGCCCTTTGTCACCGGTTCTGTTCACTGTATTTATGGACAGAATATCTAGGCGCAGCCAGGGGTCGGAGGGGTTTCGGAGACCACAGGATTTCATCTCTGCTGTTTGCGGACGATGTTGTCCTGTTGGCTCCAACGAACCAGGACCTGCAGCATACACTGGGACGGTTTGCAGCCGAGTGTGAAGCGGCTGGGATGAGAATCAGCACCTCCAAATCCGAGGCCATGGTGCTCGACCGGAAAAAGGTGCCTTGCCCTCTTCAGGTGGGTGGAGAGGTCCTTCCTCAAGTGGAGGAGTTCAAGTATCTCGGGGTCTTGTTCACGAGTGAGGGAAGAATGGAGCGTGAGATTGACAGGCGGATCGGTGCAGCGTGCGCAGTGATGCGGTCGCTGTATCGGACCGTTGTGGTAAAGAGGGAGCTGAGCCGAAAGGCAAAGCTCTCGATTTACCGGTCAATCTTCGTTCCCTCCCTCACCTATGGTCATGAGCTTTGGGTAATGACCGAAAGAACGAGATCGCGGATACAAGCGGTCGAAATGAGCTTCCTCCGCAGAGTGGCTGGGCGCTCCCTTAGAGATAGGGTGAGGAGCTCAGTCACACGGGAGGAGCTCGGAGTAGAGCCGCTGCTTCTCCACGTCGAGAGGAACCAGTTGAGGTGGCTCGGGCATCTGTTCCGGATGCCTCCTGGACGCCTCCCTGGGGAGGTGTTCCGGGCACGTCCCACCGGGAGGAGGCCCCGCGGAAGACCTAGGACACGCTGGAGGGACTATGTCTCTCAGCTGGCCTGGGAACGCCTTGGGGTCCCCCCGGACGAGCTGGAGGAAGTGTGTGTGGATAGGGAAGTCTGGGCGTCTCTGCTTAGACTGCTGCCCCCGCGACCCGGCAACGGATAAAGCGGAAGAAAATGGATGGATGGATGGACTGTGCTTACGAGCGATCCCTGCTGGTAGCATACAAAGAATATTCACTCAGTGTGAAGTGAAACCCGGTTAACAGGGCACTCTCAAATCAATATAAGAACAAAATTATACTCATTTACATGTAGGATTATTAAGTGTTCTTTCAGAGCTTATAGGATAGGATCTATGAGTTCCCTGGAGTAGCTAGCACACTCGCTTCTCAGCAGGTCCTGGGTTTTATTCTACCTACAGGGCCTTTGTTTCCTCTACCACTAAAACATACAACAATTCAACCAAAACTCCCCTCTTTCTGGAGCCAGGACTCCCCTGAAAAAGAGATTCTAAACTCTCAGTGGGATTTTCCTGGTTGAATAAAGGTCAATAAGGGAGATTATTCCATCATTAGATTGTGTTTACGTTAAAAACAATAAGAATGTGAAATGATTACATTTTCTAAACAAAGGTATGTTTATTGCTGTGTTAAAAAGTATGCCAAAATGTACTGCATATGCAAGAATACTAGCAATGTGCTGGGACCAAGAATCTATATTTACAATATCACGAGACACATGTGAATTGTGTTGAGCTGTTTCAGTATGCAAAGAAGCATGTCATTTGTAAGCATTTGTGTGGACATATATTCCTTACCCTGTGATGATTATTTCTGGATATGTATGTGAGCCGAGGGTCCACGTGCCTCCACTGACAGGCCACTCCTGTGGTAATAAAAGCAGAAATCCATTACTATTCAAAACGCTTACATGTACAATACATTCCCTATATAGATTTATATAACGTTACCTTTTGACTGTAGCCGGTCTTTTTATGCTTGGCTCCTATAGAGTAGAGGATGGGGATGATGTCAGGCGGACAGTCAGCGAAGTAAGCTGTGCAGGTGACTGGGGACTCGTGCACGTCCATGGGGTAGGGGTTCTCAAAGACGGGGAAGCTGAGACACCGAGTAAGAAAGATTGTGTTGGAAAGTTAACTCCGGCGGGAATGCAGCTAGTAGAGATGTCTGGGTGTATATTCATCTTCGCAGACTAAACTAAACCACCCCAATTGGCCTTTCTGTTTTACACTGATTGTCTTTCTTTTTGAAATTATGAATAATTTGTTATCAATGCTCTATTCATTCCGTGGAGAAAGTTGAAGAAGGAGCCTCCAACTTATTTGTTCCCTTAGCATGTATTGGAGTTAAATGTAAAAAGTTAATTTTATGTTCTTTTGTTTTATGCTTAGAAGGTTCTTTTAATAAGGCAAAAGTATGTACCAGTGTATCTTTAGTCAAGTCAAAGCAGTTTGTCAATGTCCCAGCGCAGGTACAACAATAATAATTTTTTATTTGTCAGCCGATATATAAATATAACCATAAAACACTCATTTTGAGTCAAATCAAACCTTCTGGGATGAACCTAGACCAGTTTGAACTCCAGATTCACAAATTAAATACAGTCTGCTAAAGATAACGTATTCTGCCTGGACCTGTTTGCTTTTTGATAGGTCACTCAATCTCATATTTAGTGACATTTGCTCTGGCTATAAAAGGCAACTTGCCTAAAAAAAATGAAAACAAAAACAACACAAAAACCTATTGTAACGTTACATGTGTAGATTGTTCCCCCACGTCAGGGGCCAATGCCTACAGATTGGCATTGGTGGTCAATAGTCCTGTCTGACCTGTATATATACTTTCACTGGAGTAGTTTTTTTATTTATTTGGCAATGTAAAATGAGAAAGTTCTTTTTAACTGTTCTAATTAAGTAACCTAATTAATTAGAAATGGGCAATTAACGCTCTTGCACTAAATTAGAGCTTGTCGCCTTAAGCAGAAATCTGTCAACCGCAGACCTTCACTGAGAGACAACAGGACGTTTTTTTCAAGGTGATAATGATGATTGTACGATATGCCCCATCCTTCCTCGTCAGATCGATGGCTTAAAGTCAAAAGGAAGTGATGAGAACTCAACAGGTTCCTTGTGCTAATATTTGTGGAATATTAAACTGTAGATGGACAAAATGCCTTGGTTTGAAAGCTGCTTAGCTATTTCTATTCTTATCCTGCTGTAATTTCATATTCAATCTCAAATATGAACGTGGTGTGTAGAAGCATCCTGACCTTTCTCAGACAGATGTGAATAGCTGACTTTGCTTTTGTCCTGTTTGAACATAATTTGATCATCATACAATCACAAATGGATAATGGGATTATATACAGCTATTGTGTAAATTAGTCTTGGTCCAGGAAGACATTTTTCATTCCTTGTCTTTCTTCATAACAAATCTGTCCACATCGACCTTCATATCACATTGTTGTGCATTGTCTAATAACATTAAGAAATAGAGACATTTGTATTACCTACAAACTTTCCTCCAAGCTCTTTTAAAATGATCAAAACCTGCTGGCATTTGATAAGAAGATGACATTTTGTTATACAGATTAGACTCACATTTGTTCACATTTCCTCCTGCTCTAGTCTGAATCTATGAAATTAATCTAATAGTATCCATTTTAATTGTATTAGTAAAGGATATTTTTATGATAATTTAACCGGTATTATCGCTGGAACTAAAATAAAGTTTACCAAAAAAAACAGCATCATGTGTGTAAAAAGAAGTGCTCAGAATATGTAAACATCTAAAATGTAAATAGAGAAATTTAAATCTAAACGTAGCAAAATCCAGTGAAACCAAAAAAACTGGTCAATCTTTAAACAAGATGCAGTGAATAACCACATCACTTCTTCTTAAAGCTGGGGGACATAACTTTCAAACAATAAACAAATTGAAGTATGTAATAAATAAGTATGTAATAAATTGAGAGCAAACCAGTCCTTCGCTCTCAAAACAGTTTAGTTCTATTCACGGCCTCGGTTTCAACACAATGTCACTCATAGTGAAAATGATGATAGTGATTTTCCAACCACTGCAGTAAACTGACAAACACATACTTGCTCTGTGTGAGGTCCACTACAATCAGGTCCTTCTCCAGAAGCACCACGACCGCATAAGGGTCCTGGACCTCTGCAGCGCACAAAGAGAAAGAACATTGAAATAGAAATCTGTAAGATTTTCATGTCAAGTCATCATTAAAGGGCCTTAATCTGTGAAAAGGCATTAATAAAACATGCTCTTTTCCAATACCTCTTAACTGATAACAGTAGTTAAGGGATATTCACATTTCAAAATTAGTTTTAAAGCCCTAAATCTTGTTAATGTTGTCATTTTGATGTACGCCCTCCAACGTTTCACCAATCAGAGTCTGTGATCTGGGTTGCCAGAACTCACCGCAGCTAATCTCACTGGTAAAAGTACCATGTGGCCGCAGGACTAAAAAAGGTCTCGTTATGATTCTCAAATCCTTCATGACATGATTCCTATCAGGGCCATTGTGAAAAAGGTGTTGGTTAAAGATTTGTTATTGACAAAACTCTTGTCTATTCAGCTACAATGGTCCCAGCTGGAGTCGTCTGCATATCTGGCAACATAAGTCAAGGAGTGTGGGAGAGGTTGTAGTACTATTTTTACCCAGAATGGCACATATTGCTCCTTTAACCGTACTTTATCATTTGATTTTCTGAAGCTGGTCAAATTCAAAGACAATGTAAATGATTGCAATATAATAATGCTATAATCAGGATACTTAGACAGTATCTATTCTATACACAATACAACTGCTGTTTTGACATGGAGCAATCAGGCCAAAAATGTGATATCTAAGCAGGTTTTCCTCACAAAAATTGAACCATTTAAATGTGCTACTGTTAATAATTACATCAGTGTGTTTCTAACATTTAAATCTAGTGTCATGGGCGGTCTGAAAGTATTACTAGACACAAAAAAACGATGATAAATTCAAGCTATTATTATTCTTTTGTGTCTCTTTCATATTCACTTTGTGATTACAGCAGACATGGGACTGACGGATGCACTGAACCAAGCTGGAGGTGCCGACAAAGAAAGATGTATCAATTACGCCTCTCTGCACCTCATTTCTCAAAAGCATCGAGGAAAGATTTTTGTAATTACACATTTCTGTGAGACTAAACAAACCCATGTGAAGTTTTACGAATATTTAATAGCACAATAACAGAAGAATGAAAGGGTTCGAAGAGCTTGAAAATGACACGTCCCTGTGTGAAATAATTGCGTATAGTGTTGCATGAGCTTCACCATTGTTGTAGGGCGTCTCACAGAGCACCATAAACTCCACGATGGGATGATCCATCTCCAGCACAGTAATGGCCTTTCCGTGCATGATGGTTAATGTGGGTCGGCGTCCGGCTTTGTCGTATGAAAGCCCTCCAGAGAAGATGATAAAAGGCTCGCTGTGAGGAAACGCATTCACATGAGATTATTCAGCTGCTATGACGAGATGACACGACGGCGACAGTGAGAGACAGATAAAGCCGTCTAGACAACTTCTTTTACATGAGAACATCAAATCTGCATCTTTAAAATCACAGCAACAGTTGTGTCTAAGGATGAGGATTTATATACAACAAATACTAAAACAAAAGTAAAGTTTTGCTGTGTAGTTTTTATTCTAACATTTTTATCGTCTAAAAAGTGCACTTTATAATACCTATCAATGTGGTATTTGATGTCAATTTGTATTCATCAAATTGTTTTTTGTTCATCAGATTATCATTACTTGATGTTATGAAACTAACCCTGTTGTAGTGAAAGACAGAAGACAAAAAAATTGGGGGCCCCAAAAATATACAGTGAATGCGCCCCCAGAGCAAGTTCGAGTTTAGAGCGGAGGGAGAGATTATCTCATTAACATTTATTGTAACAGAAAATTTAAATGTCAAATTTGAATTGTGCAACATATAAAATGTATTAGAAATATTAGTGTTGTGACAAAACTACCAAGGACTCCACACAAAGAATCAAACTAAACTATACATTGAGCCTTTCTGTCTTTTATTTTCACACCAGCTTTGTTGTGGTTTGTAGTTCGAAAGTAAGATAGTTCATATGAACATTTTCTTTCAAACCTGCATATTTTGACAGGCACATGTTTAAGTACAGGGTTAAACATGTGCCTGTCAAACAAGAACAAACAAGAAGCAGAAGTTTATAATATCCCAATTCCATCTCAACCATGCAACACAATAAGGCAATATAAAACAACAAGAATACCATAGATTTCAATTCAGCAACGTAATACACACACACACACACACGCGCGCATACAAACAGACACACAAACACACACACACACACACACACACACAAGTACAAGTACAAGAAACAGAGAAGTGCAGGCATGAATATGTTTTCATAGTTATGAAATCACACCTGCTTCTTGAGGTTTTGTACTCCACTTTAAGAATTGGTTTACATGACTCCTTCTTTCCATCCTTCAGTATCTTTCCTATAACAACAGAAAAACAAACAGGATGTGATGGGACTTATTTAACAACAGCGTTTAAAGCAGTCCAACAATGTTACTTTTATCTGCCTTTGACTTTTTACTGCTCAGGTTCTTATTGAAACTACTGGAGTGGGATGTAATCACCTTGTTTACATGTTTCGGCTGCTAACTGCGAGCCATCTTCAGTTCTGAAAGTCTCTTTTAGAAAGAACCGTAGCAGCAAACCGCTTTTCAAGCAGATGCAAAACCCAAAAGTACTGTAATCCTTTAAAGTTCGGTGAAAACTAAACAACACAAATGAGATATTTCTCAAGGCTTTGGCAAAACAAGCATTAATTGAATGTTTTGTCCATTTCAGTTTTTATCTGGCCATCGCTGCACATGAAAAATAAGAAAACTTTTCATTTCCAACTCCAGCTTAATAACAGAGGAAGACTCTTGATTAAACAATATGGGACTTGAATGCCGCACTTTCCTTCACTTTTTGATTAGAGGTTATGTTCACATTTCAGCGACTGAACGGCGAGCCATTTTCAAAGTTGTCATATTAAAGAAACCCCATTCAGAGCAGAGATAAAAATGTGTTTTATTGAAAAGAAAGTGACGCAGTAGGAGGACGTGGAGACCCGTTTTACCTTGAAGAAACACTGGGATGAAAAGAGCACACAACCATGAGGAAGTTTGGCTTAAGAAAGAAATGTTTAACACTAATTGGAGGAGAAGTCTGGAGGTGGAAAGTGGGTGAGAAAATAGAATTCCTTATTTATATATTTTCTATAATAATAAGATATGATAAGATGAATTGATAATAACGAACTACTTTCTTTCTAATATTCAATACATTTACCACTTCTGAATAACCCAAACCAAAGAATTGAGAAAAAGGGTAAAAAAGGAACGCTTCCTGGACCTCAATTGCAAAAATGGAAGTAAACGCTACACAGCATTTAAGTTTGGATCAGATGAGATAGAACTTTATTGATCTCATGGAGAATGGAGAAGTGTACATGTTACATGTGCATAAATAGGATCACTCAGGGTGTGCGAACAACAGGAGTGTTTCTCTTGTGTTTTTGTTAAACAATCTTACATTTCAGTTCACCAATGGAAGAAGGTTGGCGGCCCTCTTTCTTGTAATTTCATTGATCTAGCAACGTACTTCAAGCTTTCACGTTCCAAAATATGAGATTCATGCATTTTGGGAATAGATCATGTTTTAGCGACAATAATACCAGTCCCTGTGGGTGATCGTGAGCTAATATAATTCAGAGACTAGCACAAGCAAATAGAAGTAATGAGTAACTACAAAAATAACTCTTTTGATGTAACTAGTCGCACACCGCTCAAAACTGTGTCTGCAACAGTGTGAGCCGACCATGATGATTCTGAACACCTGAAGCAGTGAGTTGAGGTGAAATCAGCTGGAAGTAAGTTTTTTCCTCCAGGTCCGAGCCACACGCCGAGGCGACTGTGTGAGCGCTGCTTTGTTTACTGATCATTCTCTTTCTTAGCTGCTGCATGTGTGTCCTTCCAGTGTGCAGTGAAAAACATCAGCTAAATCACAGGTTCGTGAACACAGCATGAATTTGAGCACGTCCTAAGGTTTGTTTTATAGCGTCTAAATCACACCCTGCATGCTTCCGTACCTCTGCCCTGTCGGCTCGCAAAAATTGCCACAATCTGACAAGGTTAGGTTGTGCTGTCCATACGGAATAGAAATTCAGATGAGAAGATGTTTGAGTATGAAATGTGACTATCATGACAACAATTAGGTTATATTAATATTATGAATACACTACTGATAATTTACGTCAAGTTTACTTAAGGCACTTAACTATACCCCATCTATTTATGTATTTATTTCAGATGTCCATTATTACTGCAGCACTGACTACATTTACAAAGGATATGAATAAGGACTCTATTCGGCGTTGAGTCCAGTCTGACCACTCTGGTCCCAGTCTATCTATGGCCCCTATCTATCTATGGCCCCATTTAGATGGAGACACTGCAAAAAGGTTGCAAAGAAATTAGCAAAAACGACCAGGCTCCGGCACAGCGTTGAGACAACCACAGAAAACAATGTACTTCTAGCGCTCGGCGAGTAGGGAGCAGTGGAACTTTACAACAGGACACAGGCAATCCCATGCCCTCCCCAGCGGTAGAACCACTTCCTCAACAACATCCTCATCAGGCCACCGAAAAGACGTGGAAGAATGCACCAACATCATTCTGCATTTAACTGCAGCTGTAAAAATGGAAACTGAAACTAAAGCTTTGCGTGGTTTGTTTGGATGAAGGAGAAGAATTGTCCTTTGTGTCTCCTCGAAGCAGACGTAGCATTAGTCGAGTGGAGGCTCTTTCTCAACACTTGCATTTTCACCTAAAAACACTGTCTCCATGTAAACGAAAGGCCAAACCGATCTCAACTCTAAACTTTTACTGTTGTAGCATCTCCGTCTCAATGGGGCCTATGTGTGGGGGATTTATCTGATTGAACAGAAAGGGTATTCAAAAACGTTATGTAACTTTATCATAGCCCTCAACTGGAGCCTTTACATGAACATCATACTGCGCTGGACTCTTTTTTTCATGCTGAATTTGTCGCCGTCTGCAAAGTGTGTGTAACATGATCGCACAATACTCCCGTAAATGGAGCCTTTTGTGCGTGCATATGAAGAAAAATATTGTGCTGGTTTTATCATGCGCACTGACGTAACACTTGAGGTCTTTGCTCCCAGTCATTTCACCAGCACAGAGTTGGTAAACTGTCCTCACATGAAATTTACCGCACATCCAATGAGACGGAGAACCTTTATCATGCTTTACATCAGCTGTATTTGATCCCGCTCAAGCCAGTGATTCCCTTATTTGTCCAACGCAAATATATCAACTACATAACGTGATCTTTGTTTTCAATCATGACAAATTATGATCCATAGATAGTCTAATATTTTGATTACAGGGCGACAAATCACTTCATTCTTCACTTAAAGAAGTACAACTTTTCCGGAAACAAAAGTTGCTCTCAAGGGGAAAAGCAAATTGGTGACCCCTGTTAAAGAAAGTATAGGATTTCACACCGGACACAATAAATAATAAAATACAAAAATCATGCCATGATTGTAAATAAAGGGATCACACATTTGGATTGCATTGCACATTTCATGATAAACTTGATATGGCATATTAAACAGCTTGATTTGCCGTAACACACACTTAAACACGATTCAAATGTGTGATGACATGATCCATTACGGACAGCACACTGACATATGCTGCTCTGCTTAGGGACCAATCACAGACCAACTCCAAGCACCTGACACTTCACATCCATCTGTCTCTGCTCCACTCCGGCAGCCAACCAAGACTCCAGCGTGTCTGATGAGTGGTTTGGAGGAAGCTACAGAAAATTTAGTATTGAATTTACTTAAAGGAGCTATACCCGTTTCTGCAAGGTTTGAATGTTTAGCACCGACCCTCAACTCGCTAACAGGCTTCTCATTTCCCCTATACAGGGATCAAGAGTTCCGAGCTTCCGGCTCGACCGCACAGCATTGTGGGTAGTCTTCTCAAAAAAGTGGCATGAAATCACGCTCTCCTATTAGATTACCTGTTGCGAGCGTGATCTGTCTCTCTTTTTTCCAGCCCATCGATTGTTTTAATCGCTACAAAAATCACCAATTTCGGACATTTAGAAGGTAAGGTAAAGATTTTTTCATGTAACAAAACAGCAATGCTTTTTTTTTCTTGTGGTTTTCTTGTGGAGGAGAGCGAGCGTCACGCTAAAGTCTCTACTACTTTTTACGTCCTAAATTCATACACAAGCTGAATCAATGAGCTCAAGTTTTCAATTAAATTACGGATTATAATACAACTTGTATGTAGTAATAAGCATTTTTATGAAATCATAAAAAAAAAAAAAAAAATGTCATGGTGTGGATTTTTTTTTATTTTGTCATTTTTAGTTTTACTTCCTGTCTTCCTCCTCTGTCGTTATTGACTGCCCCACCCTGTGGCTCTCTGTGTCTGTGCTCCCCTCCCCTTGTTGCTGGTCCATTTTATTTTCTTTGTCTGTCTTTGTTCCTGGTTCCGGTTTGGATTTTGAATGTGTTTGTATTTTCATTGGACTTTTGTTTTTCATCATTAAATCATTATTATTGTTGCCTTCCTCCTCATTCCTTTCCATCACGTGACAACAGTTCTCTGTTTTTTTATTTAGCAACAGAGATAGTCTAGTAAGAGCAAAATATTACAAACAAATCACACCACAACATTCTGTATTTATCTAAAAAAAAAATAAAAAAATCACTAGTTGATTATTTTAGCTTTGAGCTGATCACAGCCCAAATTAGCCCAAAACTGTGAGCCGTCACTGTTTCACTTCAGGTTCCCAAATACCTTCACGTTCCCAAATACCTATATTATTTATTTATATTATATTATATATTTTAAATAACTAAACAGTTACAACTTAGACAAGGCGACATCCCCGGTTAGGACTTTGCCAACCTCATTTCATTTTCCTCCTCATTCAGTTTAAAGATAAAACCCTACATAAAGCCACCACAGTGACAAACATCTTAGACATCGCACTATTCCAACGTAGCTACATTTAGCTGAGACAAAACAATCAGTTACACACACTTGCCGATTTTGAGAACATAAAGATATCAATATATAATGTGTATGGCGTAGTCGAAAACCGCTTTCAATGAGAATAACATAATAATTGTCCCATTCCATCTCTAATAAGATACGTGTTTGTGGCAGTGATTCTGACCGTGCGGGAAGGTGACTTGGACGGGTTTGGTGGTGTTCCTCAGATTCCACAGAGTCAGGCTGCCGTCCGAGTGGCTGCACATGAACTGCTTTCCTTCGTGATGCCAGCTGACAGAGTGGATGGCCTAGTACCACAGAGACAAACAGAGGAGAGACGATAAGTCAGTTCACATTACACACGTCCAATGTATCATGTATGTACTGAGCGACATATACTGGAGGTGTTTGGAGAATGGAGTCAGCGGTCACAGCAGGGTATAAGACATCATTCCATTAATGCTCTGCTAAAACACATTGCATAATAAAAACCAATGGCGCTTTACTTTACTCTTATTTCTTGTATGAAATGAAAAGTGCGGCGATAAACATGCTCCCTGAGATGTCCGTATGCAAGATGAAATGCAAATGTCAACAACCAATTGTGTAATTACTAAAATCCCATATTCTTTGTGTCCGTAATTATTTCTACCTTGTCATCGGCTCAATACGTGTGTGAAACAGTGCGAATAGCCATCTGTTCGGTCCACGGTATTTTCTTGTATTTCATTGTCCTTCTCCCCATGTGACCTCTTCTTTGTTGCTATTTCTGTGTTTTCCCAGCGCTTCTGTCATGCTGCGTTAACAAGGGCCCTGATTAGAGTTCAGCCACAGGAGAGAGCTTTGGGAGAAGTGTCACGGAGCAGACGGAGCATCTAAGATTTTAGCTTCAGGCTCCCGGACCCCATGTGTATCAGGCGCACAAAACATGAGCAGGAATAAATTTGAGCTTTGGGTGCAGGCGAGCCACTGTTTCCAGCATAGGGAGATCCAGCCGCTCGGGGCTAACAGTCATCATAGGGAAAAACAAGTTTGAGAAGGGGAAAGGTATATTCATTGCCCCTGTAGGATCTTTTCTCCTCTGCATTTGACTCATCCTTCCAAAGCTACTGGCAGTGCTTCCCAAAATGGGGTGAGTGGTGGGGGGAAAAGTTGTCTACACCACCAGCCATTCGTATGTAAAGCAACATTTGGGCTGAATTTCAAAGATAACCCATAACATATCCTTCACTATAAATTATGATTTCATATTGGGGGGCTCAGTGTATCTTTCACATCATTTGGAACCGTTGCTAGGGTAACCTGTGAGGAGCAGTGGTCGCCACAGAGCAGCCAGATGTTGATGTTTGTTGAAGGTTGGTCAGACCAATCAGCACAGGAGGATTTGACCCATGGTGCAGTTTGGGTTGAGTAAAGGTTAATAATAACTTTTCTATACTCATTCATTTAAATGAGACAGGCACCAAAGCCAGTTAACCATCCATTAGGCTGTGACAAGGCTTTCCAAATATCTGTTTTTGTAAGCATAAATTAGTACGTGTGAAGTTTTAAGAGCTGTAATTTGCGGCCGGTGCAAACTCAGACCTTCTTTTCCCTTAAGAAATGTTGCATTTTTATATTTGTTGATAATTTCAAACTAACCTCACATAACCCCATCTCAGTCTCTACTTGTAATTTGATGAAGAAAGGAAATGTTTTTGAACAGTCAAAAGTATAGATCCAATATTTATTAAACTATTTAACCCTTTGGGCTGATATCTGATTGGATGACAGATTACATTTGAATTCTTCTCTTTGATACTTTTATGTCTGAATAAAGCTGATTTAATGATGTGACAGAGGCATAAGTAGTGAAAGAACTGTTTTGACAGCGAGGAACTCATTACATGGATTTTATCACATTTTCTGAGGTTTGAAAGCCAGGTACCCCCAGTTTGATTATATAATAACTGAGGAAAAGCCATCATCTTCTTGATTAAAGCGATCCAAGCATAACCCTACTGATTACAAATGACGTCAATATGGATTAACAATTAGCCAAAACACTACGATAGCAAGAACTGGCAACTGACAAGGAGCAAAAGCACTGATCCTCCTTTCTGATGGGTGGTCATGAGGGGAGCAAGTGCTGCTTTGCTGAAGGTGTAGCCTCGAGGGTGTTGTAGTGAATGTGCGCAGGATGTGAGACGGAGATGAGAGATGGCGGAGCGTACAGCGGATCAGCGACACGGAGGGAAACGCCTAAATTGGTTTGAGGGCAGGGGGCGCTCCAATAAAAGCTGATTAAATAAGACGCAATGTGATCCTGGGTGTCAGCGTGGAGTGTGAAGAGAGGGGAGATGAGATACTGAGCTTATGAGGATCTTAAAGAAATGGGTTGTACAGTGGGTTGTGGGTTCGATACCCCCACGATCCATGTCACCTGCTCCCACTTATCTTTACTGACGTTGTGTCCCTGGGCAAGACATTTATTCCCACTTTACCTGAAAGACCACGGCCGTATCTTTGTTTAAGGAGCAGGCATCTACTTATTGCCAACCCGCCAACCGAGAAACGGATAAATAAAGAGGATGACAATGTGTTTGAATGGGTATAACAATTAAATTAAATGTATTCTTGTATAGCCCTGAATCACAACAGTAGTTATCTCAGAGGACTTCACAAAACCGCTGAAGTCGCCAACACAGATCAGAGAATCACATGATATTGGTCCATAGGGAGAGACCAATGTCCATGAATGTTGATACATGTCCAGAAATGTTGCAGAATGTTAGAAAACAAAACAAGACATTCTTCATGGCAGGCATATTTATAATTACAATTATTTTTGCCCCGCTGCTCTTGATCACAATCTGGATGTAATTATTGAGTGTTTTACTCTCAGAGAAACAAGAAGGTTGCGTTGAAATTACCATGATGGAAAAACTTGCCCTGGGCTCTGAGAGTTGGTAAAAGTGCTTATGAATCCATTCTTATAAATAATTACAATGTTTGAAGAGGTACAGAAAGTGAGGAACTTTGGATTAATGCCAACTTTTTCATCGAGTACAGGGTCAGTTTATCGGAACCAAATGATTGAATAATTGAAGATGGTACAAGCTGAAATTTTTATTATAGAATTAGCCTATACATTTTTTTTTTATTAGTCAAAACTAATCCCATCTGTGTCTTATCCTATACGTGACCATTTGTGTTATTTATGTATTTGAATCTCAGTGTCATTATGCACCGTCCCAATCAAATGACAAAAACATAAATACAACATTAGATCAATCCATTTCATGAAAATGATTTACAATAAAATCTACAGAAACCTGGGACAGGAGCTCCACACACAGTGACACTTCTCCAGTTTCATTCTGTTTGCTCTGCTCTGTCAAAAGTTGCTTTGTCTCAACCTTTCTGATCCTGTTCCCTGTTCAAACGCCATAATTGGTTTCAAAAGTCAAGGCAAACCCAGCTCCTCGCTCCACACCGCTGCAGTTCAAAGCCATGTTAATAACACGGATATACAAAGACTGAAACCTAAATGCAAAACACAGCTCCTTGCAAGTCCGCAGTGTAAATTAGGCATTTTATTATTTCTTTAAATGCTATTGATGTGCAAAAGGTTTCAATAAAAAGAACGGTTTGGTGGTGATATTGCTTGTTAATGCTTCTGTCATTCCTCTCGCTCTGAGCAAACATAAATGAGTGCTGCTGATGCTATTTCCCTGTCAATTATCCCTTTTGTGTGCACAACTTTGTAATGAGGCAGAGTTCTATTATAAAGACTTCCTTTTTCAATTCTCTTTGACTCAGTGTCAAATGATGAATGAAGTGCGTTGCGCAAAGACAAAGGAAAATTGACCTGCCATATATGAGAAGTTGTTATTTCCTAATTTATTTACACTAGTACGATTTATATGTAACTTTCTATCACAATAAATGTTCACTCAGATACGGTTACTACTTGTATCTTGTCACTAAATTCTGGAACTTCACTAAAGTTCACTAAATTCTAAATTCACTAAAATCTGGAACAATCTTCCTGAAGATGTGAGACAGGCCTCCTCTATGACAATGTTTAAAACCAGGTTAAAAACAGTTCTGTTTAGATGTGCATACAACTGAGGGATTTTATATTTTTATCTTTCTTTTTAATGTTCTGTGATTATTTATGATTTTAATGCTTTCTTGTTTTGTTCAGCACTTTGAGTTGCCTTGTGTATGAATTGTGCTATACAAATAAACTTGCCTTGTCTTGCCTTAAATTGCTAGCGAATGACCCAACCTCGCCTCTCTGTAACCTGGTCCTGACAGTTTCATCGGTTTGTTTTAAAGTTTAATGCTGTAACGTGTGGCATTCCATGTAAACAGGCGTAGCCATTTTAAATAACTAATTGGACATGTAGATATTGGGAATTCCAGAAAAGTTACATGATGCAGTTTAGTACAAAAAATCCTTCATTAAGATGTTTTCTCTTGTTTGAAAAACTCACCTCATCGTAATAAATCCTGAAATCCGCCTTCTTGGCTCGCAGATCCCACTGAACGATTGTCCCGCTCTCAAACCCAACCAGCAACTGAAAAAGGAGAGAGTTGGTTATTGTATGTTGTACAAAGAATGTTGTTAGCGTGTCGAAAAGGGTTGTAAATGGAGTATGAATGATGTAACTGGTATATTCTCACAGAGTAGTACCCATGCTGCTGTGAGCTCTCAAATCAGTTTGAACTGCACAACTAGAATTTCGGGCCAAAAAAAAACTCACCATTCCATGAGCAGAAACTTTTTTTTAGCTTTTAATGCATTGGTTTTATATAGTGCTTTTCTGGACACACAAAGACGCTTTACATGTAATTATTCTTTCACTTACACGGTGGTGATAAACTACAACTGTAGCCACAGCTGCCCTGGGGCACACTGACAGTAGTGAGGCAACCAGTATGCGCCATCGGCCCCTCCAACCACCACCAACCATTCACACACACACCAGACTCATTCTAGGCAATGGGGATGAAGTGTCTTGCCTAAGGACACAACGGCAGTTTGGCACTTTACAGCCGCAGCCGCCCCATGTGGCTGGTGTTCCAAGAGGTTAAGTGTCTTGCCAAGGACACAACGACAGCAGACATCAGTGGGAGTCGATGGTGAAGGTCGGGCTCAAACCCACGACCCTCTGGCTCAAAGGGCAATGCTCTACCAACTGAGCTACTGTCGCCCTTCTTCCCTTCTTGACAAATTTCTGCTGCTTAACATACGTTGTTGAGTGGAATTGATACGAATGGCGCATACAATTAGCTGCTTATTGTAGACATATGATAAATCTTTTTCCCAGTACACAGCTGTGGACAATCGATAAACCCATGTGTTTCATTGGGGAGAGTAGCTCAGTTGGTAGAGCATTGGCCTTTGAGTCTGAGACATTGCCTAGAATGAGTCTGATGTGTGTGAATGGGTGGTAGTGGTCAGAGGGGCCTATGGTACACACTGGTTTGCCATTCTGCTCCAGGGCAGCTGTGGCTACAGTTGTAGTTCATCACCACTATGTATGGAGTGAATGAATAATGACATGTAAAGTGTCTTTGAGTGTCCAAAAAAGCCCTATATAAAACCGATGCATCATTATTATTATTATTATTATTATTGTTATGTATAGTATGTATATACCGTATATGTCAGACTATTAGATGGTACTTCAATCTGTCCCCCCTGGATGGACGTACATTGGCTCCATTAAGTTTAGTAGCAATGGGACGCACTTTATTATCATTGGATTTTGCGCAATTTACCAGAATACATTGGAAACCAACAGCTGAAGTAAACATGCTAACAGTTTCTGTCCTCGAGTTTGTTGTGTTATCGTCCCAGCTTTGTCCATAAAAATCCAGCAGTGCGTAAAAATAGCTCAACTGTTGCCTTTTATTCATCTTGTGTTAAGCAAAGACCTGTTGTTTTTGCTGAATAGTGAGCTGTGTCCAAATGCCTGCTTTATGCAAACTAAGAGTATATTTGTTTTTCTCTATAAGTTGTCCATCAGTTGTTGGATAGTTACAATATGAAAACAACTTGTCAGCATCATATTTTCACAAGACAGATCTACAAAATTGACTTCATTAAAACATTTGATTTGAATAAAGAAAGCCCATATACTTGCCAAAAACCTACTACTTCTACCTGGAGCAATACTTTCTGTGTCCCACTTTTAAAGCTTTGTGTTCCTGAATCTTCACAGCCAGACTGTGTCAACACAGCTCCTCTCACCATTGTGAGAGCACATTTCACTTTAGAGAGCCAGCAGGAGCCTTGGTGCTGTTAAAATGGAATTTGGAAGTAAAATATGTTCTCTCTTTGAGCTATCCCCAAGTATATTCCTGGCACAATAGTAACTTTAACAGCAGTTTGTAATGGGAAGTTTTAAACAACAGCGTGAAGACTCAGCCAATTGAAAGAACAGCCAGTAAACAGAGCAGGACAGACGCAGCTACATTTTTCATTTTTGCCAAAACAAGTTAAAATGCAAGATTTATGAATTGGGCTTACAATAATATCACTTCCCACACACTTCAGATACTACTTAAATGAAATATTTATTATTCACAGTTACACTGGTTGTCTAGTATTTCCTATCAGAAAACATACAGTACAAAACAATACACCAACAATGTCGTCCCCAAGATTAAGGACAAAATCTCAATACACAAACAAGCTATTTAACCTTTCCACGCTTTTATAGTCAGTTCGGTACTACACACAGAGCAGAGAAATCCATCCGTCAATGATAGTTATGTTAATGTGTAAAAGCGTGTGGAAAATTACAATATTTGCTTTATAAAGACAGTCATTAATAGACGAAGGATTGGGCGACCCAAACCAAGCAGACACACTCCATCAGAAAGCTTTATGGAGCTTTAGACTCAGAGTTTTTTTTTTTTTTTTTTTTTACTGTTTTATTTGTTTTACTTTTGTCTTTTAATGTTGTTTTATGTCTGTATTTGTCTGTGCACACTGGAGACATTTTGCTAATGTATTCCAATGTGTTTTTTTTTTACTGCAAATGGCAAATAAAATGAATCTGAATCTGAATCAGAGAGAGACAGAGCCTGATAGGAAACGGTTATCACGTCTAAATGGCATGTGTCTAGATCTTAGTACACACCTCTACAAAAATAATACTTTCTTGTGTAAACAAAAACTCATTGCATGAACTCAAAAAACTTTGAGAAACTTTGAAAATTACTAAATAGTACTAAATAGTCCTCAAAACAGTTTGTTATATCATTAGTTTTTTTGTCACATTACTAGCGGCCAATCCACTTTAGTTCTTGTCTTCTCCAGTCTATGTTTAATAAGTGATTCACAATTTAACTGTTATAATTATAATAAACAAAAGATAAGACTAAATGTTCTGTTTTAAGGTTTCTGTTCATTTGAAATCCCTTGGCATCATCCGTTTATTGGCTGAACAGTATGGTCCTCTCTCCGGGTCCTCTCTCCGGGTCCTCTCTCCAGGTCGCCTCTCCAGGTCCTCTCTTCGGGTCCTCGCTCTCCGGGTCCTCTCTCGAATTCCCCTCTCTGATTCGTCTCTCCGAGTCCTCTCTCCGAGTCCTCTCTCCGAGTCCTCGCTCCGAGTCCTCTCTCCAAGTCCTCGCTCCCTGGGTCCTCTCTCTGATTCCCCTCGAGTCCCCCCTCCCACACACTTAAATAACACTGTCATGTTCATATAATGAGCAGATCTAAACCACCCACTTTCCCTTCAAGTTAATATACGTCATATCACACCTCTTAAGTAAACTTTTAACTTTCATGTACACAGAAATAAATGAATCCAACATCAATGAACCACACTCACACCCCCAAAAGGTTGCGTCAGACATATTCCTATTATTACCCCGACATTTCCATTCAGAGGACGCAGCTATGACAGATGCTCCAACGATGAAATAAGCAGAGGGCTGAGTGCTGTAAGAACAAAGCTTAATAACCACCTGTGATCAAGTGTGCAGGGGTTTGACTGCAGGTGGATCATTTCCTCGTCACTAATGTAAAAGTGACTCACCGGAAGCAGCGGCAAGAGGCTTATTCGTTTCAAATACAGAAATAACTCACTATCCTTATCCTACGCGTTAGCTGTTCAGGTGTGACGTCAAGACATTTGCTTTATGTTAGTAGACTCACTTTACTTTTGTTTTGTAACACAATGGGTTGAATGTTATAATAATGCTACAGTATGGTTTACTAAACGGTTCTATTTTTAGTTCTGTTAACTTGTTTTCACCGAGAGCCAAAGCAATTTCCTAGTTTGGGACTTCCTGTTACTCACATGGCAATAAAAAGGATTCTGATTCTGATTCTACTTTGTCGGACTCCATTCACCCTTTTCCAACGCTTTAATAAAAACAAATTCTACAAGAACATAGAGCTATCCCCATAGAGACAAGCAGGGGATGCCAATATAAGCTATGTTAAAGGTCAGACCTGTGGAGCGCCAGCACAGCTTAAGGCAATAAAAACAATCATAGAGAATTAACATAGTTCAGTAGAGGCCCTGAACCAAAGAATGAGATATGAGTCCTTGTCACAGGCAAACCGTTCACAACCAAATTCCAAATTCAAATATCAAGTCAATGTTATCATTATTTTAGAGTCTTGCTGTGCTACTTCCATTTCTCATGGCCCCCTAGTGGCGATGGGGTGCTAATTTAAACTTGATAATTTACGTACGTACTGTATGTCAAGGCCGACATAAGTGATAGTAAAGTGTAAGGCCCCAAAAGCAGATCTTTTAAAAAATCCTTCAGAAAGTCTTTCAATAATCATAAAATAACCCTCAAAATACTACCACCATTATGACAACTGCAATGAACATGTACAATTGGTAAAATCCTCCAGCTGCTTTTGTCCTGACCAAGCCGAGCATCAACATGTACCTGGGCGCTGTTTCTACGGCGACCACTGCCGCTGACACAAGCATTAGCGGCATCAGGATGGGTCAAATACAGAGAATTAAGTGCACCTTTACCTTTACCACCACTACTACCACTCCCACTACTAATACTGTTTTCATGTTTTTGATCCACACAATGACCAAACACCACACAAAATAATGTATATTTTTCAACATATATGATTGTGATGATTGTTCTCAAATATATATACAATAAACAACATTGAATTCAAATTTGTTGGTCCAATGCTGATTTTGGGAACCTCGGCATGACAAGTTTGTTAACCCTTGCTCTAAAACATCTTCCCCATTCTCAATCGCTTCCAGAGTAAGAATTATAGCCCTGACTGACAAAAGCATAAAATAGCAGCTTTAAAAACCAATGCTCTTTTTATGTCTTTGCAAGTCGTCGACCCTGATTTCACCGAGAGCGGCCTGATCCATTGGGAAAATCAATAGGAGACATCTCTGTATACATTTAAGACTATTTCCTCACAATGTGCCTGTCCTACTGCAGAAAACCACAGGGACATTTCACCTGCGCCTGGTCACAGCTCTGTTTTATGTGTGAATTTGTGAATGGAAAATGGCAGCTGTCAGAATCATGCTGTATATGGGTGGTCAATATACTACTATTTATTTCTGCACTAAAACATACTGTATTCATACTGCCTTCTGTATTATGCTAAAGTCAGATATTTCGTTCTTAATTCTTGCTTCTATTACAGATTATAAGGATTATACAGTTTCCTTATTATGCTAAAGATAGCGATTTTATTTTATTTTAATTTAGTGGAGTTTAGTATAGAGTTATTTAGTATAGAGCTGTATTAATTTATCGTTCATTTATCCTGTGGTGTGAGCTCATTGCCACTCTTGAGTAACTGGTGAAGCAACACTAAAACTGCCCCTCTGTGGGACAAATAAAGATCTCTTAATCTTAATTTTAGTGAAGGTGGTGAGGTGATATTAGATGTGTGATTAGGAAATAAATACTATAATACTTTTCTTATGATCAATTTCATATCCATTAAACTAATTTTAAAAAGCAAAAATATGGTAATTTTTCCATAAAAGGATCTTTTAGAATTAATTCACATTGTACTTGTATGTCATGCACGGAATAACATGTCGCCTATGGTGCCATATTTGCCACCATTCACAAATTTGCTTGGTAAGTTTTGTCAAATCTGTTGTATTGGTTGTATTTTTGATACAAATAATGTATCAAAACTGTTTCAACACAAATAGTAAAAAGAGAAAGTTAAAAAGCATTATGCCTCGTGGGATTATAGATGGACTATAATCCAAAACCATTTTTCAGAAATACAAATGTTGAGTCATTTGAAACACAATGTGAACAAGGTGCTTCCTCCGCTCCCGTCTCGCTCATCATTGCACATGGCTGTAGTCTGCTCCAAATAATCACAGATTATAATCTCTGCCGCTGGGCTGGCCATGAATTGCTTTTTGCCCTTGTATAAAACTACCTGCTGCAATAATAATGAATCCTTACAACATCCATATGTGCCTCCGACCCATTTGATTTAACGTTTACAGTAAAAGAACAATTTACATTATGCACTGAGTCCTTCAGGCTGAATACCAGGGACAGCTTTTTTCTAACTTTTCCAATACTGCAAATGGCTCCAGTGTGAGCTGTTGGCAACGGGTTTCATACAAGAGAAAATGGTGTAAAAAAAGAATCTCTAACAGAGATTATTAGACGCCCCAGGAACGCACAGAGGAGAAGACACTCACCTTCCCTTCATCTTTCGGACTGTCACTCAAATGCACCACAGGGCCTGGGTGAGTTTTTGTCGATCTGTGACGAGAGACAAAAGAGAAAAGCCGATGAGAAGGTTTCACAGGTGGACATTTTATAAAGATGGAAGATGAAAAGGATGTGAGTATTGTGTGAAAGTGTGGTGAATTATCCGACAATAGATGGTCAGTGCCTTTATGAGAAGGACAAAAGTCTACCAACGTTTTGCATACACTTATTTGTTTGGCAAGAGGGAAAAAACAGCATGAGATCATAGATTTGGTCTGAACAAGTTGAGGTTTGCTGAAAAAAAAAAATTACATTTCAAATGGACATTTAATTTCCATTTTGATATCACATTTAAAATATACTTTCATTGGAGATGCATCTGTCTGTGTTTAACGCTGGGGATACAGGGAGAGTGTAGCATCAGTCGTGTTGGCTGCTTACATGCATCTGGCTGTGGTATGGTATGGTATGGTATGGTATGGTATGTACTTTATTTGAGCAGGGACAGTGTACAATTAAACATTAACACAAATGAGAGATTCATTGTACCTCTCTCTGTGTCACACTAGTTAGAGATCGGTACATATCTACTGTATGTGGACTTGGGCATTTGGCTGAACCTGCGGAGGTAAAGTTGCATAAAGTACCTTGAAAAAAAAATCCCTGCACACATACATATATAAGGAATTAAAATTATGATAAAATAATATATTTACCACCAAAGCATGATCCGTTCATATATTATTACATCAGTGACACAGAGCCCTGTCTGTCACAATTATGGATTTGAATTGGGCTTTTGTTGGATACTGTTTCCTGAAATTTTCTCCAACATCAATTTTAAACACACTGATGGGCACCTTTAATGTTTCAGCGTGATAACCAGAGCCTGTACATGTCCCTTCAGTGTTTCGCCTCGGCGTCCTGAAGCCTGTTCCAGCCTCGTGGGGCCAACGTATCTGCCATGTTCCTCATAAGTTCCGCTTTAGTCATGCCTGCTGCTGTGAGCCGATAATAACAGGAAACTGCCCATGAGCCTGAGCATTCTCGACCTGTTTTTATGTCTGTAAGAGGCTGACAGATCACCACACAGCCACAATACTCTACACCTGTCCAATCTACAGAGTGCCACAATGAGCCGATGCCAAGCGCTAATCTCGCCCTAGCAGCTGCACACAACAAACAGACTAGAGTAAAATGTTCCGTGTGTAAAGGCTTGTTTGCACTTTTGACCCAAGATATCAATAAACATCAGCTCATGACATACACATCTTAAATCATGAGGGAAAAGGTAAGTTATTAAAGTCCTGGGCGATGGAATTCGTTTTATTTTTTTTTAGCTTTTGAGTGGGAAAAATGAAGACCTTGACAGAAGAATTCTTGATAGAACTGTTGAATAGAAAAAATCTTCACGACTGCAGTTTTGATGAGGCCAACCATTGAAATAGGAGTTCATTGAAAACTGTTAATAGATATATACAGACCTTTCAGTGGGTTGGTTATATTCAAGATGTTAAAGTTATGGCACAAGATCAGAAAAAGTTATGTGCAAAGGATTTAATAAGAAGGTTTTATATAGCGCTTTTTTGGACACTTAATTAATTAATGGACACACGTCATAATTCTTTCACTCCAAACACAGTGGTGATAAACTACTATTGTAGCCATAGCTGCCCTGGGGCACACTGACAGAAGCGAGGCAACCAGATGTGCCATCAGCCGCTCCGACCACCACCAACCATTCACACACACACCAGACTCATTCTAGCAATGGGGGTGAAGTGTCTTGCCTAAGGACACAACGACAGTTTGGCACTTTACAGCCGCAGCCGCCCCACTGTGGCTGGTGTTCCCAGAGGTTAAGTGTCTTGCCAAGGACGATGCTCTACCAACTGAGCTACTAGGAAGGCCCTTGGACAACATCAAGAAGGTCCAGGGTTCGATTCCATCTCCAGATGAGTTCTTTCTGTGTGGAGTTTGCACGTTCTTTCCATGTATATATAAGTTTACTCTGGGCGCTTTTCGTTTTCTGTTCCACTAAAAACATGTGCTATAAGTTGAGGGTTAAATGAGTGTGTTTGTGGGAATACAGATGGAAAATATGTACAATCTGGTGAACTGACTGCTCCTGCTGTTCAACACTCTCGCATCGAAATAAACAAACAATAGAACTAATGGAAATAAATAAATAAATTGATCTCATCTGATTTGGGACCTGGTTTGGCACTGAAGCCACTCATTTAATCTGGTTGTAATTTCTAGTCAAATTTGAGTAATTTCTTGTGTTTATGTTACTTTGTTAATTGAACAGTGGTTCTTGAACTTTAGTTTGAAATATTTGAGAACCAAAAAAATAAAACTAGGGAGAGAGTGGATGTTGTCGTCTTAGAATGGCACTTTATTTAGGACTTCTCAAGGACTTCCTAGAGTCAAGCATATCAGGAGAAGATCCTTTTTGGCTTTTTCTGAATCTCTGCCCTTACACTTCAGAATTATTCATGATGGATTCCAGGTTATTCGGAGTGATTGATCTTTCACAAAGAAAATGGGGCCACAGGTTCCAGTCTGCCCGGGACATCTGGTGGGACATCTGCCTAAGGTGACACCATGGATGGGAGGGACAAGTGCCGTCCTGTGTGTTTGGCTACACAGTCAGCGGATTATATTAAAGATGAAGGAGTAGCTCGGACACCAAAAAAGTCTGACTTTTGTTTTTTTATATTTCACCAGATATAAATCCTCTGGCCTTGGCCCGCATTAGCACTGTGGCTGTGTCCGAAAAATTCCAACGTGTTTCTATTCTGCCCCATTAATGTTTTATTTTGATGCCTAATGTTTTGTGTTAGTGATTTGCATATTTATTTTTGTCCAACTTCCTGAAGAGAGAAAGTATTGTGCCTCAATTGTGCTGCCAAGGACAAGCAATTATATTCTATTCCAGTTGTGTGTCAGATATAGAAAGTAAATAAGCACAAGGATAAGGTTCTGTTTTCTGTTGTGAATTCTAAAGCTGTTTATATTCTGTGTAAATGACTGGAATTCAACTGCGGCCACTTGTTTCAGGGCTGCAATTGATTTCTCACCCGTCAAAACACATAAGCGTGGAAAAACACAGACAAAAGGGGAAATTACATGCTTTGGGACGACCAGGGAGCCATGGAAACGCCGCACTATTAGGGGAATTGGGAATTTAAATGTATGGACAACACGTGAATGTGAGGAGACAGGCAATAACATGCAGATTATAGGGGCCACAGGCAGCAGGCTGCGTAAACAGAGATAGAGCAGTGTTTTTGAGATTTACAGAGGATGTATTCAATAATATTTGAATCTAGTCAAAGCTACTGGTAAAACATCTGTAAATAATTGTTCTTGTATCATGATGGATCTGAATGCATATAACTGGAGTCTGCATGCATAATGTGTGGTGTGTGTGGACTTTTATAGTTGTAAATGTTGTATTTGCAATATCATGTGTAATTTAAATGTATAACAATGGAACATCTCCCCCTGGAGATGAAGAAGCTATAGGCCCAATTTATTTTCTAATGAGTTCATAAAAATCCTAATTTAATTGAAAACTTGAGCTCATTGATTCAGCTTGTGTAAAAAGTTGTTGTTCAGGGGACTTGCTGGAGGGACCATGTCTCTCAACTGGCCTGGGAACGCCTTGGGATGAGCTGGAGGAAGTGTGTGGGGATAGGGAAGTCTGGGCATCTCTGCTTTGACTGCTGCCCCTGCGACCTGGTGACGGATGAAGCGGAAGTAAATGGATGGATGGAAGGACTATGGAACATCAGTTTATAGTTGTGATGTCGGATTTGCGGATATTGTAAAACTGATTTTGTTTGTATAGATGACAGATAGATGATGAAACTTAAGCCTAAACCCTTTCCCCTTTAAATGATTCATGTAGGGAATCTTTTTGTACTTTTTTCGGTTGACCAAAGACAAATAATAAATATAACTAATAATAAGTGTTATAAATAGTATTTTATATCTAAACTCTATGTAGGATGGCATTATGCTTCAACCATCTATAAGGCTACGGTTAACACTATATGTTTAAAGAATGTTCATAAGAAGAATCCAATGTCTTTAAGATTGCCTTCAAAGTTAACAAACCAAGCCAAACTGCTGCTGTGTACTGAAATGAATTGGATTTGGCGAGCCCTATGGACACAGATGCATTCAAACTCTAGACACATTTAATTAAGATGGGCGTAAAGACATTTGGATGGGTCATGTGACTCCAACGTGCACAGGGGAGGGTGGGCAGCTGTCTGTCCACCCTCCTCATTTCCTTTCATATTACGTTTCATTGTGGGATGAATATGAAATTGTGTATTAAATATGTGGCATAGTCATTTGAATTTGAATGAGAGACCATGCCCTTGTGTTTGGGAAAAAGGCTCCCAGTTGTAGTAATGATATGAGATTCTTTTCACAGGAGCAGAGAGGTTTTTTGTTTTATTAAAGATCTGTGAATGACAAATATGAATGACATTTAATTGACACAAAATACACATTAGGGCTCTCTTTCCTGGAATGCAAGATTATTATTCCAGTTTTAGGGAGAGGAAAAGTCCCTTTGCATGTAACTTATAATGAATATTTATTCTTTTCAACTTTCCATGAACCGCACTTATGAAAGAGAAAGAATGCAGACGTTACAAACGGTCCCACCCACATGCTGAAGATTACGAAGGATATATGGGAAGATGCAGTGCTTTAAGTGGGCCGGTATGCGCCGGTACATGGTACCGGCACTTCCAAAAATAGCTCTTGGACACTGCCACCTCTCCATGCCCCAAGAACGTGCTTACTGTGTATGACAGGTATGCTCATTTGCACATCTGTATTAATTCTTTAGCTGATCTGTCGCTTTTCAGAGCACCTTTCACATTGCACAACTCCTATTTTATCTCACAGAGACTACGTTGCCCATAAGTTTTATGAGAGAACAGTGCATGTATCACTTTTGCCGCTAGGGGTGGGAACCTAAAGGTACCTCACGATACGATACGATACACGATACGATACACGATACAAAGCTCACGATAACAATAATATCACGATAACGATAATATCACGATAGCGATAATATCACGATATGACGAAATATACAATATGCCAATTTATGGCATAAATAAAAGAAAAAAATTTCTTTATTTCATGATAAATAGAATGGAGATGCGTAATGTAGCTATATATTTAGTATTGATACAAATTCCCCAAAAAAATGTGTAAAAATATATATATATAATTTTTTTTTTTTTTCAAAATCGATATCGATATTTGGCAAATGCATATCCATAATCGAATCGCGGGAGAAAGTATTGCACACCCCTATTTGCCGCTGTAAACAACTCAGCGTGATGCTCGTCCGCACAAACAAGTGGATTCTGGAGATGTGTGATAAGTGCAATCATAGATCCTCGCTTAAAATCCAATGAACATTTACTGCTAAGTTCTCCTTCGGCCTTCAGATAAGTAAAAGAACGAGGTCAGTCTCAGAGGACTCGCTGACGTCCACCAAGCCAGAATGAGATCGCTGCAGGTCAGACTCAGGTAAATGAGAGTAGCACTTGTGCCGTGTCATTGACAATCGCCCGAAGGACATTTCTGAAAAAGCAGAAGATTATTAGATATTTCAACTCGTGCTGAAAAGTATGATCCCTGTCATTGATTGCTACCGAACCGGAAAGTTCTTTCTCCGTGAAGGCGGAAGATGCGAGAAGGCTGGCGTGAAAAAGGTCCTCATCCGGTCACGGAAACATCATGTCATTTTTGGTGGGGACTTTTTAGTCCCTCCACCAATATTGGTGGGACATGTCCCCATGGTCCCCAACGCAAACACGCCCTATGCCCTGAGCGTTTCAGTCGCTGCAGAGCCTAAAGCGGACTTAACCTGCCACCTAGTGGCTCTAGATTTAATAAGTTTCACGCACTGCGTGATCAAGAAAGCGTGAATGAAGTCGACAAAAACGAAATGGGACCCTACTTGTAAAACTGTTTAGGTGGAGCTGTGAGTGGAATTGATGAGGCGATTGATAGTCAGAATCGTGGAGAGCTAATCGCTTTTACTGTAGATTACAGTGCAAGTCTCCCTGGAAAAGTACAGTCGGGGTTTTGAGTTTAAATGTAGAAACTGTGGAGGGCCAACAGATGTAACCATGAGGTTGTACGTGAGGAAAAAAGCGTGGAGATTCTGAGAGGAAGTTGTGAATAATGTCTATTATCAGAACAGTGTGGAAAGTTCAAAATCAAAAACCCAGACGAATGGAGACCAAGTATGCAGAGAAAGACGCAGAGTGTGATTGAGGGTAATATGGTGTCGTGGATAATTTGATGGTGTTTTCTAGCATAGTCCAATAAATTGTGCGAATTCAGGCAAAGCATAAAACAGATCAAAATACACTATGTGAAGGAGCGGAAAAGTAACCTCGGGTATGATAGTTTTCCTGGAACAGGTGGACAAAAGGTTGGAGAGAGAAGAGATGGGTGTGGGAGGGGAGTGAGAGAGTAGTATGAGAATCATTCAATGGAACGCAGGAGTTTAGTGCTATGGACAGAAATTAAAAGTTATTTCAGAGAACAAGGAAGGATACCTGAATATTATATGTTGTTCAGGAAACAAGGCTTAATGGTGCAATTCAGACCGCAAACGGCACAAACCTGAAGCCCACGTCAGGAGCATAGGAAGTTTTGTTTAGTGGAACAGTTGATAAAAGACCTCCGCAACTCTTCCACATCAAGGCATAAAACATTGGAAATGAGATTGAATAACATCGTGTGGCCAGCAATGAACCTCAGACCCGGCAAGAATTTGCCTCTGTGTACGTAGGTCTGAGCGCCGCAATTCGGTTTAATTGGATTGAATAATATATCTCCTGCTTTTTGACCGCCTCAATTGCATATAATATTGTCCTCTCCAGCGCGTGTGTTTTTCTCCTGCTGATCTTCTCTCCACTCGAGTCTCAAATTCCCTCCTGCCAAGCCAATAAACAAGGTCCCCCATTCTACAACAACCTCACACTTCTCATCCCATCTCGAATCCCGCTCCCCCCGCCTCCCTCTACCTATCCACTTCTCCTTCCCTCCCCTCCACTACCCATTGTCTTTCCCGCTTCCCCCCTCCCTATCCTCCTCCCTCTGACAGCCACATTGGAGCCGGCCAGTCGGAAGGTGCTCATCCCCGAGAAAAAAAAATCCTGGTTTTATACAAAGCACAAATGTGTCTATCCAGCTGGCCGTGCGTGAAATCACTATGGTTTACGTCAGATTTAGAATATTATAGGTGCTCTCTCCGCTGTCACTTCCACCCGTCCAAAAATGTGACTTCCTCACCTCCGTCAACGTTCTCATTCAATGTCTTGAAGCACTGTCAGGGCTTCAACCGTGTACTTTCATCTCTCATCATTTGTACCTCCAATTCGCAAAACTCTTTCGCTCTCTCAAATGAAAAAAAAAAAAAAACCAAGTCTCTTAGTTTCTCATGACAACATAAGTGATACATTTTAATAGCCGAAAAAACCCCGGAAAGGTTACTATGAACAACATCGCCACCTGCGCCATGTATCCCTATGGGGCAGCAAAGGGCCTGTGTTTTAGAAAACTAAAATGCGTGTAAATCTTGTTTTCATTACTTTTATCCAAAAACCAAAACCCACCAAAATATAAACCAAGTACCCATTAAAAGTCATGAAGATTTCAACTTCTGGCGTTTTGTTTTCGAATACACTAATTAGCATAGAAAAGTGAGTGACGTCCGTTGACCGCTAGGGGCGCTCCCTATTAATGGCGAAGTGGCACGCTATCTGCCAAAACAAATTTCCAAGTGAAACTTTGTGTGTTACTATACATGGATAAAAACTAGAAACTTGCAAGGCTGAAGCCATGCGTTTGACTGCGAACAGATCTAGATGTTGAACATCTGCTAAAAAAAAATCCTTGAAACCTTTAAAAGGCCGTACTGTTAAAATAACTTGAATAGATATTTGAAACCGCCTGAAGTCCTTGAATTGTTGAAATAACCTTTAACCCTGAAATCCTTGAAACTGTTGAAACATTGAAACTCTCCTGAAATCCTGAAAC